GTGGTGCTATAGGCATCGTGGACGAGATCTCTGGCGATGTCCATGGTCTCTCGTCGCCGTTTTCGAACGCTCGCCTTGCTTCGCATGGGAAATATGGACACAAAATGTGTTCAATAATAGATATTTGTGTGAATACCGACCGAGAAAGGCGTTATATGACATCCAATGGGTGTTTTCCAGGCTCATTCGACCGTAAGCTCCGGAACGATGGCTGGATGGTGATTTCGGTGTGGTCTAGTTCATCACATATTAGCGTTTTTCACCCGACACAAGCATGGACATGTAAAAAAAAATCAATTACGAGATAGAGCATACTTTAATACACAATCGATCAGATTTTGGAGTACATACGACGTGTTTTGATGTGGTTATTAATGGATCGTGATTTTGTCAAATCCGCAGAGATACATACAAACCACATACAAAATTTATGCAGAGCAGTGCGCGTCATTGACAGAATCCTCAGGCTATTTACCAGAGGAGTAGTTAAAGTAACGTGACCTTTTACAAAAAAGGTTAGACTCCCCTGAGAAATAGCCTGAGCTTGCTGAGGTAACTTTGCGCGACGTGCCTCGCCACGTCACGTGCTGCTATAATTGGACCCCTATCCCGAATTCACGATCCTTCCGGCCAACAAACTTGATCTCGCATCCTCCTCACCTTCTAAGTGTAGGCTCTTAAGTGTAAGCGTACGAGTGGAGCACTGTCCTCCGCCAAGTTTCGTAGTGATGGCAGTCGAAGAAGAAACTATAGCGCCCCGCTCGATCCATGCCCGTATCGCAGCCCTCAACATCAACCAAGTCGGCACCCCAATTCCCAATGCTGGCGCGAGGGGCGGACACTCCATCGCGAAGGCCGCCGGTGGGAAGAAGCCGCCTCCGCCTCCTCTCCCGCCCAAACGACATGAACAATCACCTCGATCCGAATCGGCAGATATCCCGTTAAAGAGCAATGGAGTGGCCACCGCCCGGAGAATTGGACACGGCACCGTTCCGGCGAGGCAAACTCCCCTCGAAATCCTCCCTCCACCCGGCGTGAGTTCCCAGAACGGCGCAGCAGAATTGAAACCGGCACTGCCACGGCGTCCGCAAAAGTCTCCCACGGCAGAACAGCCACCATCACTCCCTGCTCGTCGGCCATCCGAGGCACCCTCGAGCAGACGAGCATCGATTGAGTCCACGTGCTCCGCCGTGTCAGGAAAGTCCTCCCTTTCCAGCATCGCACGGGCAAATGGAAGCGTGGAATCACTGGCGTCGACCACATCCGGACGAATTAAGGCCCCTCCATATGATCCTTCGACGCTTCCCCCCTTGCCGGAGAAAAGGGCGAAAGACGAAGGCAATAAGCCTGCGTTACCGAATAGGCGGAGCACAAGCAGGCTGGCGGTGGAAGACACCGAGGAGAGGCCCCCGTTGCCATCGCGAACGAGAACCGCGCCGGGCGGAAACGCCAGCGATAATAGCAGACCTAGCTTACCCAAACGATCAGCTCTCGACTGGGCTATGAACAAAGACGCCGAAACTCCTCCCCAACTACCGCGCAGGGGACAGAATGGCAACTCTGCCGCTCCGCCCCCAATCCCACTCTCATCTCGTCCCGACCTGGGCGAGCTGAACAAGACCAAACCACATCTCAACGGCGCGTCCAACGGCGCCTCAGCGCTGGATAATTCGAAAGCGCGCTGCCTCATCTGTCGCGACTTCCAGGCGGTGGACGAACACGCGGCTCGCTTCCCACGCCAATCAATCCCATCCAACGATATGAAATGGCTCGCACATCAGCTTACGTCCCCGTTTCCGGCTCACGTCGACAAAGCGCGTGCGATTTTTACTTGGACCCACCACAATGTCGAATACGACTGCAAGGCCATCATTGACAAGAGCACCCGAGCTCCTATGACCGCGGAGAACACCATCGCTCGCGGCCTGGCGGTTTGTGAAGGTTACGCAAACGTGTTCCACGACTTGGGGGTGGCCGCGGGCCTGGAAGTCGAGAAGGTGAATGGACATGGCAAAGGGACCGGCTATGCTGGGGCGACGGCAGATCGGATTCCGCCCCCCAACCCATCTGGTCACGCGTGGAACGCGGTCAAGATCGAGGTGAACCCCGAGGTCGGTCCGTCAGCGGGGATGTATTGGAAGCTAATCGACCCGTGTTGGGGGGCGGGTTCGGTGAACAATTATCATGAAGGCTACATCAAGGGGTTCAAACCCGCGCATTTCATCATGTCCAACGACGAATTCGGCATCAAGCATTTCCCCGCGGACGAGCGTTGGTTCTGCCGCTCGGACGGCCGCCCGTGGACGTGGGAGCAGTACATTCTCAGCGATGTGGGCAAGAAGGATGGCCCGAAAACGTGGAGCTTCGAGCACGTCGAGCCCGGGATGGACGATCGCACCTTCCAGCCGACGACGGGCAAAATCCCCCTCCACGACCCGAACGGCGGGCCGACGGTCCGGTTCGCGGTGCGACGCAAGTGCCCGCATTGGGACCCCCTCACGAACGGCATCGGGAAGTCATACCTCTTCTTGGTGAAGGTCGGGGATCGGCCCGGTTACCTGCAAGATCAGCTGCCGATGAAGCACGATGGGTACAACTGGTGGCTGGACGTGCCGCGGCGGGAGCTGGGGAAGCCGGGGGAGCTGGTCGATATTCGGACCGTGGGCACGATGGGCGAGAAAGACGGGAAAGGTTTGACAGAGGATGAGTTTTATCGCCTGATGAAGAGTTCAAGCGGCATCACCTTTAACTCCATCCTGGCGCAGTGGGAGTTGGTCTAAGGCGTTTGAATCCGCCGAACTGGCTGGTTCGATCCGAACGGGTAGTTTCCAACGACAGCACAGCATGAGAATCTGACGTTCCTACGATGACATTACGAGCGTTGAATAGATACCACTCTTTGTTGGAGTTATGGCGCAATGTACGGTTCGATTTTTTGCTCAATACTAATGGCACCGCATTTGACATCAAGAACCGTGTAGCCGTGCCCTCACAACTGAAGTCTGAGGCCAACGGAAAGCTCGGGACGGCGATCTCTGGGACTCTAGCTGATCAATCTTTGAATAGTGGGGAGGAGTCTCTAAAAATCGTGCATTTTATTAGGATTATAGTCATTTATGCCTATGGAGCCATTACCAAGCATTCTCCGCCTCAATCCGATTGGAATCGGACCCCTTCAACGGTCGATTTGTCGTGATGATAAGATGCTCGACATTATTAATAATTTTCCGTCTAAGGAATCCGATCCAGGAATCCGACTGTCTGAATTCGCTGGAATAGGAAATCAAGGAAAAGAAAAAAAATCTCGTCGAATCCGAGCATGAAGTTACTGATACGTAGATCATCTCCACTGAAGCAGGAGTGGCGCAGTCACCAGGAAAGCCACCAGCTTCGGTCCAATGTAGGCATCAGGCTTCGACTGGCGTTTCCATTGGTAACTCAATGGGCGATTCTCGCTCCCCCCAGGCATAAACACGACTTAATTATACGAGGAAATCGTCCGATGACTCTGGACTGGTTGATGGATGACCGATATTAGGCCAGGGCTGATGCACGATCTCCAGTCGCTCAGTCAGCACCGCCCGGTTTAGGTACGTGTATCTCCACCATCGGCACGCGACACCTCGCGAAGTGACGATCGGATGGGCTAGTTACGAATCTCGGATCCTTTCGCTGTGCCTACAATCCGGATTAATCCCGGACCTGGTCTGACGAGGTCGAAAAACATGGGGAAGCGAGCTCTCGTGCCTTGAATCCTTCAGGAATTTGCCGTTGCGCCCACTGCGTTTGATATCCTGGTTACCTACTGACTATTCATCAAGTTCGATTCTTAAGTCCTTCGCATATAGTTATTTGTTTGTTCTTCGCCTTCATGTTAAATTATCGAGCAGTTATGATCTCTGCGTCTTTAATCACAGCCTAGGAAGTCTGTCGGTGCCTCAGTCGCTACCATTATGACCGTCAAAGGTCTGACTCAGATCCCGCATCTTCATCTTCGATCGTATCACTACCTCGGCCGGCGAAGAAGGATTGCCATTCTAGTTATTGGCGCTTTGGTCCTAATTACGCTCTTTTCCCCAGCTGTTCCCCAGCTGAGGGGATACCCGCTGAAATGGCTCCCGACAAGCTTCGAGTCGTTGCACGAGAATCTGGAAAACCTCGCGCTACCACATCCATTCCGTTTTTGGTCGGGCGGCGAGGATGGTCTAGATGTGGACGGCCGGTATCTGTTCCAGAAGAATTTAGCGGCCGGGCAGGAGGGGAGCATTGGATTATATTGGGACAAGGAAACTGATGAGACGGTTGCCATCAAGACGTTCACCAGCCGGCATCGAAACCCCATTCCGCTCGAGATCCAGGAACGTTTTATGACCGCGACGGCTCAGATTTCGCACTGGCCTACCGAGATCGAAGCTGGACTTCTGCTCTCTCATCTATACCGGTCGTCTCCCCCAGATATCATTGACGGCTCGTCGCCCGCGGCGGTTCCCTTCACGACGCCTCGTGATTACTTCGTCATCGAATATCCATATCGATACCCAGCGAAATCCCCGGTCTGGCATATGGTGACTTCATATCTTCCCAGCGGCTCCCTCAAGCAGTTCATGAGGACAGCCCGCTCCCGAGACCGGTCGATGTCCATATCGGAATACGAGCGACTGCTCCGTTCGACCGTGTTCAAAGATCTGTTCTCGAACCTCCAGTGGCTACACGACACAGGCTACTGCCACAATGACATTAAGCCGTCCAACATCTTCGTCGAGGCCGGATTCTCCGAGGACGAGGACATCCCAAGCCGCCTCCTACTCGGCGACCTCGGCAACGTCCGCGAGATCGATCATCCGTATTACAGGTCGACGATCTGGGGACCGGAGAGGAACCAGTGGGTCGATTGCATCGCGAACGACGTGCGGCGGTTGCTAAAGAGCTATCTGTTCTACTTGCGGGAGACCGTCGATCGCGACTGGTTTGATTTCGAGCTGTATGCCGAGCGCGAGGAGTGGAGCCGGCTGTACTGGAGCTTTATCAGGAGTCCTGGCGATGTGCGCCATTTGAGAAACCTAGAGCGAGATATCCAATCGCCTTCTCTAATTTTCTCCGCAAAATCCTTTGCCGAGCCTGAAAGCGATGTCGACCTCGATCAACTCTCTTTGCGAGAAAGAGAAATTCTCGACGCATCGGTTGCTCGAGAGTTGAAATGCAACAGCCTTGGAATCAATTTCCTCGACTGGTGGCGACTCGGTGGTTTCTGGCAGCCGTACGTGCTGGAAGATAACAGTCGAAGGAGGCATATTTGAATGGGAGGCAGCCATATTATTTGGAGGCCATCCTTTTCAGGCCTCGTGAGATGTTTCTCTCAGTATGAATACCTTGAATACTCCCTAGCATATCACTTTGGTTAGTCATGCCTTCAGCCGTCTAAGCAGCACTAGCAGGCGAGTTGATATGGGGTTTTCCATTCGATTCCTGGGGTATTCAAGGGACATGAGATGTCAGGCTCATACATGGTAACCACGATGTCTCCGGAGTGGATACGACGCAATGCACGGCAGATTTCAATTTGCTCTTCCCTCACGAAACCTTTCTTCCAAGCCAACTGCTTCTCATCTTGAGGAGGTCTTCGTGGCATGGATGGACGTCATCCCGCAGAGATTGGCTTAGATTGTCTGAGTGTTCTCTTTCATATGGATCTTGGGGTGGAACGCTTCGAATCACAGGCAATGGTTGACCCTTCTCCTAGGAGAATAAAGAGTTCGTTGGCGTCAACTCGTACTGACGATCCTGGAAACCATAGAACCGGCTCTTAATATCCGCGAACCACAATGTCCGAAACAAAACTCTGAAACCAGACCAGTCAGGATCCCAGGAAGGCAATCCGATACCTCCTCTTAGAGGGCTAGTGAAGCGAGATCCTTGAAAGAAATCAGGATCCCGAAAGCACGTAATGTTTAATGTCTTGTTAGATATCCCGTTTTTATAACATAATATATAATACTCTTGCAAGGAGGATATGGTGCGGTGGACAGTGGACAGAGGAGTGGAAGTCTTGGGAGTCTGTTTTGGTACCGTATCTGTACTGTATCGTACGTACTACCCATTCAGAAACGCAATGGAAGGGATATACTCTTCTCACATATGGTTGAATCCAGTATGACCGTACAAAGTCCTCGAATCGAGACCCCAAGTCTACGTCTGACAATGGGTGCATCATCAATTCATCCAGCGACTCCACAAGATCAGGGATGGTGATTGTTACATGTGCTACCCGCGCTGAAAATCCTTTCCATATCTCTCAAGTCTTCCACTCCACTCATAGAACCAACCCATCCTCCGCTACCTGATGATGCCCGCACATGGCTGACCCGACCGAAAGGGTCGCCAGTGGTCGCCGTCACACAGCAGGAACGATAACGACGGTGACACGTTACATCGATCGCCATCGGACCCTTGAGATCCGAGTGCAGTTCAACGGTTTCGTTCCTCTAACACCCGACGTTGTGCGACGCCTGGGAGCGCACACTGTACAGGACCATTCGGCGATATCGGGCAGCTTGCTCACTCATCGCCGGAAGTGGTGAAGCGGGCGAGAGTGAGGGTGGCGATGGGCTGACAATGACTTTAAATCGGAAGGACGAGCGCATCTTCGTTTCTCTACCCCCCATGCATCCCTTCTGAGCTCTTGCAGTCCGGTCGTCAGCGCCGTTCGGAGTCGCCATGGTTGACCATGTCCAGATCTGTCCCGCCTTGACTCCAATGGGATATTTGAAACTGTGGACAAAGGAAGGGGTGTAGATCACGGACGCGCGCGTGGGAGGTTTGAGAAAGGATCCTCATTCCTCGGGCGCTTTGAAATCACCGGGACACAGCCAGCGGGGAGGTGGCTCTTCACGCCTTGGGTTCGCGAGCCTCATATGGAGAACGATCTCTGGTTTCGCTGGTGGTGCAGGGACACCGCAGAATGATTTGAGCAGCACGCTCTGTCTTGTACAAGTATCGTGTAAGGAACAGCCCGTAGTCTGTACAGCCATGTACATCAATGTTACCTTACTAAGAAATAGCCTCAGTAATAGCCTGTATCTCGAACCTTTGACCCCGCTCCGCGGAGGATCATGATTAGCATCAGATCCCCTCCCAGCCCATAAGACAAACCTTAGCCAATCAGATCATATGTACAAACACACAGTGGTACTGTTCTAACTCTTCTGGATTAGCGCAAGTATTAGCGCACGTATTAGCGCCCAGAGACTAGAAAAGCGCTTGGACCCTCGGACCCTTTTGACACCAAGGCCCGTCCCAACGGGAAAGCGCCGTCAAAAGCGCCACCGATGAAATTTCGGGTAAACCGCATAGTTGACGTCATTAATATGGGGTATTAATGTACAGAAACCGAAGAGCATGGCTGCTGCATAGCACCACACAGTGACTGCACAAAGTCTTGTGCTGTTGTTGCAGGATCATCAGATTCCTCCCCGCTTCGAAATTCGGATGAATGATGGCGACATGGCGTTAAGTTGTTACGGTGGAGTTAGGTATTAGGTTTCTCTTTGCTTTTAGCCGTGAGCAGTGAGCACTGATGGAGCGGATATCTCATGGATCCTGGCGATCGACCGTGTTAGCGTAGAGGGAGCTCTCGGGTTACGGCCTATAGGCAACGCTGAAAGAGAAAGAATTAAGAAACGATAGGAGACGCAATCGGATCTGATGCCTTATCGGAGTTATCGCTGATTGCAAAACTGGGCCCCGGGAATGGATGGGTGAGCAGATTGATGCTATCTGGAATGTGCAATGTGCTACAGTACTGATTGGAATTCGGAATCCAAGCGCCTTGAATGTGAGCCCAACTCCCAACAGAGCAGATGATCCTTCGATTCAGACCACCAGGATGTGTGGGTGCTGGAACTACCGTACTCAGCCTCGTTGTGAAGAACGGTCGCGGGGGAAAGACCCTGAAAATCGACGATCGGAGTGAGATCGCCAGCGCAATACGGGAGGATTACGCCACTACCTTCTAAGTATAGGCACTCATGCCGTTGTATAGTGAGCACCAGTGTATATCGATCTACAGGCCACAGTCTACAGTTTTTACCGCAGCTGGGCACCATGGAAAGGAAAGGGAGGTCTGTACGACTGATGGGCCTCCCAACGCCCCAGAAAGGGTCCGATCATCGAAATCGAGGCATCGGAAATTTTCAGCAATCACTTTCAACGAGTGCGAAGGATTCTGATGTTGGACATGATGGAATAGTGATGCGAATTGATGATGTACAATACATCTGTCGAGTGTAAAGGAACCGTCGCCGGTTCTCTCAACACGTCATCGTGGGTTGGATGTTCTAATGGCAGAGTAATGCTAGGGTATGATAGGAAATAGGCATGATAACGCCGACGCTATGGGTACATGATGAGAGCCGTCCTAGCGACTTTCGTGTCCGCTCTGGTGACGATGGGTATCAATCTCGAGGTCTCCGCTCTCCGCTCCGACTCTTCAAGAATAAAAACCGCTAGGTACGAAGAAAGGACATGCGATGCCATGGGGTTTCGATGGCGCGGAAATGATACGCGATGTAGGGGAATGCGTTTCGCCGAACCCGCGCTTGCGCTTGTAGATAGGGCACGCCGAATGCCGCTCGAGGGAATATCGGTCATGACAGGATAGGTGACGAGGAAGCCGTCCTTATGATCGGTGCCAGCATGGAGAGCTTTTGTATCCCGTTCCAATGCCATTCAATCTCGCTTGCCTCCCTCAATGCAGTCCGAGAAACCCTATCAACATCCTTCGCTCTTGACACCGAGTGTCATCCTCCCTCCCCTTCCCGCCTCGTCCCTGCACTCAAATAATCCCCCCCCTTCATCTCCCCCTCCAACTCCAACGGCGTCACCGGCCCCGGACTCCCCGCCAACGGCACCAACTTCGGACTGACCGGCCTGCCCGACGGCCCCGCCGCGAACGCCATCCCCGTCATCATCGGGAACGGCGCGCCGCCGTACGCGTGAAACGGGGAGCTCGGCGCGCCGCCGCTCGGTTGTCGGGTGGTCGGGGGTCGGGGGCTCTGTGAGGCGAGGAGCTCGCGCTGGTAGGCGTAGAGGGCGCGTTGGGCGTCGGAGTGGGGGCGTTGGGAGGTGGTGCGGGGGGAGGGGGGCGGTTGGGGAATGGGAGGGGGATTGGAGGGTGTGGAGTTGGTGGTGGTGGAGGGAAAGTTGGCGGGGTGGAAGCGAGGGAGGTTAGGGAGGGCGAGGGAGGGAGGGTTGGGGTGGGTGGTTGCTGAGGGGTTGGTGGACGGTGCGGTGGTGTAGGTGGGATGGGAGGTGTATGAAGAGGTGTTGGTCGGTAGGGCAGGTCGAGCGCGTGCGCCGCGGCGTGGTGGTGAGTCCATGGTTGATAATTGCGAGGAGCGGTCGTCAGATGAGGGAGAGGTAGTGAAACGGTCGTGGTTGGAATCTGGTGTGGATGGCGACCGGTTCGTGGGTGAGGGGACGAGGGTTGATGTGGATGACGATGTGGAGGTCGATAACCTACCGAGTGTCTCGGTGGTCGAGCCGTCTATGTCGTAGGAACGGGTCGCAGACATCAACGTGCAGCGCGTGAGGGATGGTCTGGTCGAGGAAAGCAGCTCGGCGACTCGAGTGGTCGACTCGCCGGATACCCGTACACGAGCGGGAGACAGTGACGTACTGGGAGCACCTTGGCCGGGTGCCCGCTGGCGACGGCGAGCAAGATGAGACCGTGTATGGTCGGGTGAGTGGTGGCTGTCAAGGCGACGGAATCGGTTTGAAAACGGTGCTGTTGCGAAAGATATTTCGTGGAGGTGCGATGGACATAGAGAAAGAGGATGTAGAGGCAGACAAAAGACTGGAGTGTCGATGTTCATCAATGTTCCAAGTCTGGGGTGGTCAGGGGGTGGGAATGGGAAGAAATGATGGAAGGGAGGGCTGTTTTAGTGTTTTAGTACAGGTGAAATGGTGACTGTGCAGGGTCGGGAGGGCGATTTGCGGGGAGAAAGATTGCCAGGGAAGTTTCCTACTCTCCAGTTCTCCAGGTGTCAAACACTCAAACGCCGGCTTCCACTATTTCGGCCTATTCCATTTCCATTCGGTCCAGATTCCCCAGAAAATCCTTTTCTTTCTCATCAATCCGCCATTTCGTATGGGACCCGTTGCAGTTCGTGGAGGCGTTGGACCCGGTGACGGCGTGACGGGAATGACGGGAATGCCGAATGACGGAGGGGGAAAAAAGGGACTTTGCGGCGATCCAAGCGCTCCAAGCGCCAGTGTTTCTGGCGGTCTCCATTGTTTCCTGCTCTTTACTCTTTAGCCATCTTCGCTCTCAGTCATTCGCGTTCGGGTTGTCTAGAGTGCCAGAGCGCCAGTCTTGGACACTTGGCCGGATAAGTTCTCTGCTGCAGATGCCAGGCCAGGGAAATTCGGAAATCAGTCCACTCGCTCGCCTTCACGCTCCGTTCACAGGATACAGTACTCAACCAAGGTAGGACTCAGGCATGCATCCCCCACCTTCTGGCGCTGCCGTCGCTTGGAGTAGTGACGTGCTCATCCACTGCAAGTGTCCATCCATGTCGCCATGTAATAGGCTGAACTGGTCGAATGCCTGGTTCGACGACAGTGGGAAATCTCGGTTCCGAGGCAGACAGACCACAGATGTGCGATGATGAGTTGTTGACCCGCCTCCAGAGTCGTGACCACCCCCCATGATGGACCCGACGACGAGTGACCAACCCGTCCTGCGCCCACCAACGCCGTCAGACGGTCTGGTGGCCCCCGTCCCGTAGGCTGTAGCGCCAGATCCAATCGCGGGGCCTTTCGAGGCTAAAGTGGTTATTTCGGTACCGTAGCGGTCGGGCGTCGGCTATGGACTGGCGTGTCCACTCCTGGTGCTCCTGGCGCTCCCATCCGTCCGTTCCGGCGATGGGGTGCCTCGATAGTCAATGGTCTAACTTAGTTAATATTAACTAACTAGCCAACTAATAGTTATTCAGACTAACTTCATTACTACGTTTGGCGAGGCGGTACGCCGGTACGGAGTACAGAACTAACAGAAAAGCCAATTATTAATTGACAATTGTAGTGGCCTTCAGGCTCTTCGTGGTTGTACAGCCAGGTGACGCACGGTATGGCTTTTCACTGTCTAGTCCGACTGAGCCTCCATGATGGCCAGTTGACCAAAGACCAAGACAACCGTTTTACCATCTTTCTCAACTAACCATTGTCAAGCAGCCGAACCTGTTAGGGTTACGCAAGTCCCGTACCCAGTGGTTCCAGTCCTAGATTGGCGCCCATCGTCTCCGACCCTCGCCTCATCAGCGCCAATATAAAAATCCAGCCATGCACACCGAACGTAGTTGCAGAGCGCTCCCCTAAAAGGATTGGCACAAAGCTTGATTACCCCAGCTGCCGTCCAAACGAGGATTTAGGTGGGTTCGATGCTCGGATCCTGCGGTTCGAATTTCCACATACGGTTCGCGAAATGGGTCGTGGCTGGGAGAAGGACTGGTGAGTTCCATGGTGATTTGGAGTCGCAAGTCGACGAGATCGATCCCGCGGATACTTCCGTTTCGCGTTGCACAGCAACGTTGTTGCGTCCGCGAGGTGGTTCAAAATCCAGCGGTGTGACCGATCCGGCCCCTTCGTGCGTCGGGTAGGGACCCCGAGTTTGCAACGCACACATCTACTCATATCTGTACCTCCAGTTTTACCAGCATCTTACCAAGTCTACAATATACGAATCGCAACTGAGTAGTTTAGATTTCTCATGCAGGGAAGAATTGCAGGTTGTGGCCTGCCTTATCAGATCGCACTTGCATATGTGCCAAGTCTGCTGCAAGGCGACTGTTCGGGCAAATGCAACAGAAGGTGGTTCGACATCTGAGAATCATAATGCATGTCGGCCACGTGGTCGTGATGGACTTGATCATATCCTAGCTCTGAGCTGACCTTACGAGACGCCGCATAGTGGAGGAAGATCCAGGATCGATGGGCGATCCGAGACCGGCTGTTCTTCACGATGGGCATCTAGCGGTAAGTAGGTTTGGGAGTAAGGCCTGCGTCAGCCCTAGGGACGAGAGTAAGATGGCCGTGGTGGTCGAGCAAATCGAAGCATTGTTTCACAGCAGGCGACGATGCAGCAGCAGGATCGGATCTAGCCCATCGCATACTCCGCATTGACGGATCACGATCCCATTCCAGAAGCATTGAAATCGCCCAATAACAAGGGATCAGGTGAGCTGAAAATGCTTTTCATCCATGTCCCCGAAAACGCTTTCGTAACTCGGCATCAATCCTGCTTGCACCCCCATACATACATTGACCGCGCCTTGTCCCAAACCACGAGTACCAGCGGCTGAATACTCAGGGGCTGCCCGCCGCGCTAGCCGCAGCGACGCCCGGGTGGTTGAAGTAGAGCTCGGAATAAACACACCCGGGCGATGCCTTGCCGAAGAACAGGTGTGGCCGGCTCTGTTAGACGCAGGCAGATGCGCGAACCTGCAATAGACGAGAATGGCGATCGCTCATCGTGGTCCCAGCTTCTCTAAGGCGCGGGATCCTTGCTCGTCCCATTCCTGTTTCGAGATCCACATGTTCTCCTTATCCGCCATCTGAAACCATGTTAGCTATCCCGCAACACAAACTAGGACAGGATCAGGCTTACGATGTTTGCGAGCACTGCGCCTCCCAAGAATACCATGTGCCTCCTCCGTGGCGGGTCTTCGATACGGACCTTAAATTTCTGGAGGCGGGTTAGCAACAGGTGTGGCGCGTCAGGGGATGAACTCACATTCAACCGCTCCGGGTTTCCACCCAGCACCTTAGTCAACCAAAGTTGCCGGAGTTCCTTCTCCAACCGGCTAGGAAGTCCCGGATACATGCTGCTGCCACCCGACAGGACCACGGCTTTGTAGAGACTGCTTCGCACGTCGACGTCGGCCGCCTGGATGGTGTTGAATAACAATTCGGCGATCCCCGGCTGCTCCACGTCCACCAGATGAGGCTGGAACAAGCATTCCGGCGCCTCGAACCGCTCCGACCCCACCCTAATGACCCGTCCATCGGGGAGCGTGTACGACTCGACGAGCACCGTCGTGTCCTCGGAGAGCCTCTGATCCAGCTCCAGATCGTACGAGACGTAGCACAGCTTCTCCTTGATCTGCCGCACCGTCTCGAAGTCGGCCGTGCGGTTCAGCGCGTATCCGCGCCGCAGCAGCAGCGCGATCAGGTTCTTCGTCACGTCGCGCCCCGCCACGTCCAGCCGCCGCGTGAGGTGATTGAGCACCGTGCTCTCGTAGACCGGAATGACGTGCGTGACGCCATCGCCCGAGTCGACCACGACGCCGCTGGACAGGCCTTGCGCGTACAGCGCCAGGACCGCTTGGATGGCGACGTACACGCCACCGAAGTTGTAGCGCTCGAACATGACTTCGCACATCTGCTCGCGGTTCCGTAGCGGGTTCATGGGCGGTTCGGTCAGGAGGATCTTGCGGCCCGTCGGGTCGATACGCATCTTCTCGTAGAAGGTGTAGTCCCAGAGATGCTGCATGTCATCCCACCGCTTGACGATGCCGTTCTCCATCTGCGGGACTCGTGAGACGTTGGGACATGCGGAACCACCCCGGGGAAGCTTACTGGATATGTGATTTGGAGCATCGATCGCGCCGTGGCGGCTTCGTCGCCGCACATGATGTCCTTGACGACGATGTCGCCATCTCGCTCTTCGGATCGGAGGATCGGACGGCCGATTATTGATGGGTACTGATGATCTGGGAAGTTCTATGGCGAAGGGCTCAGCAGCTGTAATCGGCGGTATCCGGCGGAATCAATGCTGCATACCTGGCCTGCATATCCAGCTTTCAAGAAGCCCGTCCCACCGTCGAGGACTGTGAATAGTTAGGCATACGTCTGGACACTGTAGCTAAGTGGAGGGAGATGGGTGGGGTCATACCGATTGGGAGGTCCGACATATTTTAGCACGCAGAACTCAACCGCCTGAACCCGACTGTATATATGGTCTCGAGGATTCAGGAATCTGGATACAGGAACGCAGCTGGCACTTATAGCGAGTTCGGGATATACGTCAAGGTGGGATGTTGAATGCTTAGATGCTTACAGGAGTCCCAGCCCGCAACCCTGAGAACGCGACGACTTGGCGGGGACCGGAATTTCAGTTTAACCGATGCTGGTTCCTGTCGCCCACCGCAACTTGTGAAGGCGAAGTTGAAGCTGTAAATGAAGACGGTGAAGTCACTGGAGGCAAGGCTGGTATGTGTTGGGAGAATTTGATGATATTTCAACGGAAATCAATGCTTTGGAACTTAGAAGCTGCTACTAATGAAAACCGTGTTTGTGTTTGGATAGGACACGATATCTGATCAGAGCCTCACACTTCTCGGCTTCCCTAGTAGATGCCCAAGACTGCAAGTCCATATCTGGTCTGGCAGTACACCCGACACCGAACCTCCTGCATATCCATCCTGTCCAGCAGTAATAGAGGGTTTAACTACCACGAGCCACCAGTAGCCACAGGAACCGTCCAACACCGGGAACGGCGCCTTCCCGAACGGAATTCCTTTATGCTTCGCTTGATTCCCCCTCCAGGACTTTCTTCTCCGTAATAGGCGTCACCGCTGCAATGAGAACAAACAGCATCCTCGCCCACTCCGTGCTGCTCGGGTTATTCCATGCGTGGTTCGTCCCACGTTGCACGACTATATCGCCACGCTTGAGGAGCCTCGTCTCGCCGCTGTCCAGCGCTGCCTCCATCTGCCCTTCCAACACCACGCCGTAGTCGATGCTCTCGGTGATATGCATGGGCCCATTACTCGCGGGCGCGAAGTCGACGATCCGCAGGACAGAGCCATTGGAGATGGTTAGCCCGGGGGGGGTTTCTAGATGGCCTTCGTATGCTTTCAGGTCGGCGCCGTTGTTGAGGTCAACCGGGAAGCCGGACGTAGCATATCCCAAGGTCGCTGCAACGCGTCCTACTGGAAGAGGAGCGAATTTCAAATCTGACGGTGGCGTCGATAGAAACACCGCTTTTCCTGACTGGGGGTCTTGAGCAGTGATATGCCGACTGATGGGGGGTAACTCTCCAACATGCGCCATATTGTGTCAATGCTAGGTTCTTGACTTGAATGGGTATAGATTAGGGATGCGGTCAAGTCTCAGTATTCTAAACTAACATAAACAAGGCAATGAGCCAAGTTCTCGAGTCTTTACTCTGGAGATCTTGAGCAATGGAGCCAGGGAGTGTTGTCGCCTGTCGGTTGTCACATCCACCGTGCCACCATCAACATAAGCAACCCATAACTACCCGAACCATATTAGTCGAATATCGGTTAGTCTCTCCCCCTGGCGACACGACGAGACCAATGGACCACAACAACGTCAGAATCCCGCGCTTCCCGCCAAGACCCGGAAATTGTCTGCGCCGTCTGGCGAAGAAAGATATGAAGATCTGACGACGTGAAGACGTGTAGACATGAACTCGTGAATCGTGAATCCCATTGTTCCCTTCTATATTACTTCTTTTCTCGCATTTCGCATTTCGCATGCATGTCGCTGCTTCCCTTTAGTCATTCCTTCTTCCTTCCATTTCATTAATCATCCATTATGGCAGAACCATTTCCCACCCTCAACTCGACATCTCCGGACCCTTCGCATCACCATACGGGTAGCGCGTCCGGCGAGAACGGCTCCATTCGACAGAGACGACGAAAGAGCACCGGACTACGCGGCGAACCTAGGGGCGATACAGCTGCACCCGCTTTCGCGACTCTGAATGATCGGACGCCGAGTACCATGGGGACGGAGACGCGGTCGGGAGCTCTCACGGTATGTCCAGACCTCCACGCCCAGACGCGATAGTCGTCTTGACGTACCGCAAATTGGGTAGGACTGATCGATACAGGGGAAGCGATCCGAAAAATCCCAGCGACGGTCCAAGCGACGAAAAGTCCGCTCAATATTCCAACGATGGAAATCCATTTCATTTCGGCACACTTGGCTGAACCCGCTGCTTCTCTGCCTTGCCGTCGTCGGGGTGTATCGCCTTTCCCCGGGCCCGTCGAATCCCCTCCATCCCGCCCTGTTCCTCTCGTATCCTCGCGGTCCTAAGGATGATGATCCCTCGGCGACCATGTACGGCAAAGGCAAGAAGGATTTCGCGTTCGTCGCGTTCTACACGATCTTCCTAAGCTTCACGCGCGAGTTTATCATGCAGCGGTTCCTGCGGCCGTTGGCATTGCACTACGGTATCCGCAAGCGAGCGAAACAGGCCCGGTTCATGGAGCAGCTGTACACCGCGATCTACTTCTCCGTGCTCGGCCCGTTCGGGATGTACGTCATGTCGAGGACGCCCGTGTGGTACTTCTCGACGCCCGGAATGTATGCGGGCTTTCCGCATAAGGAACTAGAGGGCGTCTTTAAGGCCTACTATCTGATCCAGGCGAGCTACTGGCTGCAGCAGATGATCGTCCTGCTCCTGATGCTCGAAAAGCCACGGAAGGATTTCAAAGAGCTGGTCGCACATCATTTTATCACACTCTCCCTTATCTTTCTGAGCTATCGCTTCCACTTCACTTACATGGGAATTGCTGTGTACATCACGCACGACATCAGCGATTTCTTCCTTGCTGTAGGTTGCCTTTGATCTTCCGTCGTTCTACCGCTGACGTGAAACTCCAGACCTCAAAGACGCTTAATTACCTAGACTCGCCCGTCGTGGTCCCATACTTTGTGCTCTTCGTCGGGATTTGGACCTACCTGCGACACTACATCAACCTTCGAATCATCTTCTCGTTCTTCCCGTACGTAACCCTGGGATGGAATCCTCACCCCCTCACCGAACCCAACACGCAGCCGCTATTCGCTCTCCCTGCGCCGTTCATCCCCAGCGGCGACCCCGCGACATCGCAGCTATACGTCTGGCCCAGCCAATTCAGCTCCATCGGTCCGTACCAAGTAGTCTGGGAGACCGGACAGTACAAATTCTGGGTGGCGCAAATCATCACCCTCTCCCTCCTCGCTAGCTTGCAGGCCGTCAACATGTTCTGGCTGTTCCTCATCCTTCGCATCGCCTATCGGCTCGTGCGCGGCGGTGAGAAGAAGGACGACCGGAGCGACGATGACGAAGACGAAGAAGAAGAAGAAGAAGAGACCATCGCACCCCACCCGGTCAAACGCGAACCCGAGATCCACGTCATCGGGATGGATAAAGCCCCTGGCCACAAAGCGACGGCGATGTCATTGGGTGTCCCAGTCGCCAATGGAAAACTGGGGAACGAGTCGGACGCCGGGTCGGCGTCAGAAACCGGCCGAACGTTGAGGAGGAGTCCGAGGAAGAGGAAGGTGTGATCCCTTTCTGGGTGCGATTCGGCTCCACGATGTTACGGCTCTGTAGCATTCTTTTGCGGCATCGGTCCTACTTGCGGCATGGCGTTCCCAGAGTTCGATGCAGGTGGCTAGATGCAGTTGGCTAGATGAAGGCTGGGGCGCGTTTCCTGCTTGGGATGAGGTCACAGGCGCAGGTGGATGGCGGTTTGTGCGTTACTGTCACATACCTCGATTCGAGACCTTACCTGTAGCTCCCCTTCTGTACAGAGTTTCCCTAATAGGGTGCATTCCCTCCCTTCTCCGATATTCTATTACCTGGCTTCACTTCTTGTTATCTCTGTACTTAATCGTCAACTTTCCAACGGCGACCGATTTTCGTACTTGTGCGGAATGATGGACGCCGGTACATTTTGGAATCCAGTCATCATGTAATGCGTGGCATGTAATTTATCTCCAGACCTATACAAACTACAATGCTCCTACTCCATTCCGCCCGGCTTGATGGTGTTCAATGCCGGAGAACCGCGCTCTTTCCCCGATCATAACCGCGCATTCCAACCGGGCCTAGCACCCGTTCAGGCTCCATTTCTGCTTTCAAATCGAATGCCTGACTTACGATGCGCGCATGTCGACCACACATCGGATACAGTCCCCGCCTTTCATGTCGCCAAACGCCTGGTTGATTCCATCCAAGTTCTGGCGATGGGTGATGAACTCGTCGACCTTGAGCCGCTTCTGGATGTAGTCGTCCACCAGGCCCGGAAGTTGAGTCCGGCCCTTGACACCTCCGAATGCACAGCCTTTCCACACGCGGCCCGTCACGAGTTGGAATGCTGAAAGGGGATGTTAGTATTGTTTGGTGATGTAGAACATCCGAAGACCGTTCGAAAGTGGACTCACGTCTGGTGTTAATCTCCTGACCCGCCGCCGCCACGCCGATGATAATCGACTCCCCCCACCCCTTATGACACGCCTCCAACGCACTGCGCATGACATGCACGTTCCCCGTGCAATCGAACGTATAATCGCACCCCCCATCCGTCATCTCCACCAACCGCTCCTGCACGCTCGTCCCCTGCGGCAACGTCGCCGGGTTCACGAACTCCGTCGCCCCGAACTTCTCCGCCCACCCCCGCTTCGACTCGTTCACGTCGATCGCGATGATCTTCCCCGCCCCCTTCGCCACGCACCCCTGGATGACGCTCAGCCCAACGCACCCGACTCCGAACACTGCGACGTTGCTGCCGGGCTCTACGCCCGTACCGCTCCGCCCCGCCGTGATCACCGCCGCGCCGTACCCCGTCGTGATGCCGCAGCCGAGCAGGCACGTGCGGTCCATCGGCGCGGAGGGCGTGATGGCCACGACGGAGATGTCGGCGACCACGGTATACTGCGAGAAGGTCGAGGTGCCCATGAAGTGAAGAAGAGGTTTCCCCTTGCAGGTGAACCGGCTGGTGCCGTCGGGCATCACGCCTTTGCCTTGGGTGGCGCGGATCTTGCCGCAAAGGTTGGTCTTGCCGGATTTGCAGAACTTGCATTCGCGGCATTCGGGGGTGCTGTGGGAGAGGGTGGTTAGAGGGGGTGGGATGACTTGTGGGGCGGGGACGTACTAGAGGGCGACAACATGGTCGCCGGGCTTGACACTGGTGACGCCTTCGCCCACGGATTCGACGATTCCTGCACCTTCATGACCAAGGACAATGGGGAACGCGCCTTCGGGATCTTTTCCGGAGAGGGTATAGGCATCTAGCACTGTCAGCGCACGATCCACGTCCAGTTGGAGAGAGTGGCCAATGTCCGGGCGACCCGTACGTACCTGTATGGCAGACACCGGTGTAGTAAATCTCAATCCGAACCTCGTGCGCCTGCGGAGGAGCGACTTCGATCGTCTCGATGGTGAGATCCTTGCCGGCCTCCCATGCGACCGCGGCCTATACCATCTATCGTCAGTTTCTTTTGTCTTCTTCACGCCCCTTTCGGTGGCGGCCGGTATCGGGAGCTCAGGGAGAGCTAGGTGGAGAGAACTTCAGACTGACCTTGCAGGAGATGGGCTGGGAACACGATCATTAGTATATATTCACGTAGATGCTCGACTTGCGAAGTAGATTCGTGAACAACCCCATTGCATCGCGACACACGCGACTTCGGAAGTTGAAATGGCGTGTGGAATCTCACTCACCTTTCCAACTGTGCTTGACGCCATATTGCTTTCTGTGATTCTCGCGCCGAATTCTCAACCTCAGCAGCTTCCCGAATACTGATTATCCGACAAAAGTGTGCGAGCGAAGGATATTTCAAAGTTTCAAGCTACCGTATCCAGCAATGCTTTCTAAGTGAATGACGTTCTGGACTCGCGCTGTGTTCCGTCACGGCTGCGTATGATCACCGATAGCTAGAACCCCACACCTTCCGAGCTTTGGGATTCAAGAGTGGGGTTGCTGCAGAAAAGCAATCGGATTACCAGCGTCACTCGAGCCAGTTCGCGCGAGACTAGGGAATTCTTGGGTTTACGCGCGACGAGACCTGGCTAAATGCGAAGAGACCACATCGCTCATCGTCCATGATGGTTCAACTGGCTGGATTCGACGGGCCTTCGCAGGCGCACTGGACGGATTCCAGGCGGATACTACCGGTATGTATGCATCTTTTAGTCGAAATGGGAAAAAGTATCCGATGGATCGCTGGAGCTCTGGAGCAGTTGATGATCATCCACAAACCATCCGGTACTTACGCTGACCAATGCCGGGAACACTTCCTACGGAGTAGATTTACCACTTCATAATACGTTTGAAGTCGAATCTGTCCGCCGCGAGTATACCACCGATCACCAGCTTAAATAAATCTGTAGGGAAAGCCAAACTTACCCCTGGTTCGGGTGTCTATCGGTAATGTATCGATGGTAGAGAACCCAAGTGAGTGTTCTCACAGTCGTTGGCATGTCAAATTATGCAGTGAAAGAACAAAGCGAAGAATAATTAAGGTACTCTATAAATATTTGTCAGTGAGTGACAGTTCAATCTTAGGAAAAGTCTAGAAATTGCCCGCACTAAATCAACTAACAATGGCAGCATTCGACCCTTCACCTGGATCCTGAGTGGGCTAGTTTTCAACTTCAGTGTCTCGTGGGACGCATATTTGTTTGGATATGATCAGGCTCTACAGGACAAGACGCTCTTGTAGACCTGTCCTTTTATGTCTGTAGTTCATCGACACAGTTGCCTGAGAACATTGCCTCTTCGCTGCTACCTTTTCAAAGAACAAAGGTAGCCATGGTGGAAGTGAGGCTTCGGGGACCACCCCCCAAAAAGATCTCATGGGATTCTGCATGGTACTGAGCAATGCTATACCGGAAGCCTCAATCTGATCAATCGGACGCCACAGCGATTCCCCCCTTCCCCTAGCGTTCTCCCTAATTGTGACTGGAAGCTTCATTGTCCCTCTTTCCATAGGCAGCGCAAGTTCGCTGATTTTTTTCTGTACGGTGATTGATAGGGAAAATGCATCCGACCTTCCTCTCTAACGAATTGTCATCCCAACTCGGACGGTAGAGTGAGTGGCTTAGGCTTTGTAACTGGTCGTCACCACTGAGAGACGCTATGGGATTTGTACAACCAACGAATGGATAGTAGCCCTCCACTGTCGAGTAGGTCCTCGCACTTGCTCTTGCGATGGATTCCGAAGGCTGTGTATTCCCTACTCGCTCATACGAACGGATGAGGTAGTGTAAGGAGTGACGGACACGGAGGGAGATGAAAGATGGCTGACGTGGTAGGAATTCGTGTGAGATAAATAGCGGTTTCGCTCAATCAGGTGATTAATGCAGCGACACAGTGGAAAACACCGTTAGATTCCAAAAGAGCGTAGATAGATTGACCTTGATCCTTCAGAGCCGGATCCTACGAAAACAGGCTGTTCCTGCAGCTATTTTATATGGTTTATAATGGTGATATTTTCCCTAAAAAGGGAAAGAATAGGGATATAGAATCGAATACGGAATGAAGCCGTGGAGAAACGCCAAGAAACACAGATATTCTGTGACACTTTATGATCAAGCGCAAATCTCAGTCGGGCTTCTTTTATTTCGGCTGTAAGTCCAGGCTTTCTTGTTGGTTTGGTCTTTCTGAAGCCTGAAAACCGGAGGATTCGCCAGACGGTGATATCTGACACCCCTCCAACCTCTATGGCAATTTGAGCACAGGTTTTCTCCCGACCATATCGATCAGTACGGACCTTAGATAGGACATCTGAGGTAGTCTCTTCAGTCTGTTTCGTAGGCCGTCCAGAACGTGAGCCGTCTTCAACATGATGGTCAAAAATCTTCTTGCTCTCTGAGGGATTCAGGCCTCGTGCGATGGCCTTGCGGTAGATTGAATTAAGTGTACGAGGTTGAATTCCGGTAATAAATTCAATTTCAGTATTAGAAATTCCTACAAGCTTTAACGCCAAAGCTTGAGCTCGAGTAGCACTATCATACGAAGGCATTCTGCCTATTGATTGACGGAGAAGAGAAAGACAGAAAAAACAACTCTCTCTCTCCCCGGATTAGGATGAAGAGGAGCAGAGGACACATCAGGACGCTAATAGACGCTAGTGACGCCACAGTGCACATACCAGGAAAAAACTTTTGAAAGGCGCCTCCGTAGCGGATTCTCTATTGCTGGCCTTGGCAGACTAACGCTCTTAGGCATTACCCATATGCACCTGTGTGTGAAGCAAACCACCGTGTAGGCAAGGACCGGACCCAGAACTTGAGTGGAGTGTAATGTTTGAATTTGAACGACCAGCCACATGTCCGTGGGTTTCTCGATGACTCTCCGTCTGAGACGATCTTGAACAGATATCAGCCGTATACATCCTCGACTTATCGACATAACGTGCCAACTACGGTGGTGTAGACCTGCGGCAACGATGCGCCTCTTAAAACTCGATGGCAACGTCAGTTACATCCTGGAGACATTGGGAGCCACCGCCACAATCCCTCCTTGTGCCATATTCTGCGGAGATCAAGCGAAATCCGACGGCCTGTCCTATTTTCTGGGTAGACACATGCTGCATCTATCCTATCGAACCGGGATCAAACACCGCAGAAACTTGAGGTTCGGACCTCTGTTTTGTGAACTGTTTTTTTCTGCGCATTTAGCGTCTCGGATCCAGAAATTTCACTCTCCATGTTATTAAATTGAAATTCTATCTATACATCATGTTTCTTTAATCAGATCTCTTTTCGATGCAGAGCCATAATACCTGATTGCAATGCTCGTGACACTCGCGTGTAGAAAATTCACCTCTAGAAGTTGATGGATCAGCCCTGAATTCGAACGATATTCTTTCTACCTTAGGGAGAACTTCCATATTCAATTGTCTATTTGAATAGCTTCATTTGAGCCCCAAGGCGGCTGAATAGCTCAAACTGCATCCTTTCAGCTGCTTTAGGACCACGAAGTATGTCACCAGCTATATCAGAACCAGGCGGGAAATCATGTTCGAAAACTGGCTCTCCAGAACCCCTCATATTAGCTAAGACTGCCTGTCTGAAATGCCATCGTAGAAGCGAATCAATAGGTGCATCACAGCGAGCAAAATGCTCCTGATCGAGATGCTTGCCGGCAATATTTTTCGATGTAGGCCTAAATGCCACGACCTTATACTTGTCCTACGATAAATATTAGCCTCAATCTCCAACATAGATATACGATATACATACATCTGGGTTGATCGAGATAGCATAGGCATCAAAGAGTTGATGCACAGCGGAGTCAAGCAATAGTCCATTCTGTACTGAGTTGATAGATCCTCCCTTAGCCGGTTGAATTGTAATCCATCTGCCATAGCTGTGGTTGATCCAGTGACCTTCGTGGGCTAGTGGGAAAATATGTGCGGCTTCGAATCCATCCCAGAGCTCAATTCCAGCAAGTATTGGTACAGTTTCCCCAGATATGACGCATCGACGATCTCGCAAACGAACAGCCTCACGGAAGGCGGAGACATGGGTTCCGGAAGCACGGCTGATCGTTCGGATGAGCCATGGCTCAATATTGACTTGCAAAGGAACTGCTGATCAATTAGCCATATCACTACATCAAGGGTTGATGAACCAACCGTCAGAAACAATGTAGTACTTCCCAGGTTTAAGCGGATGATCATCCTTTTCAATCTTTGTCTTATCCTCATCTCGTAGATAGAAGGGACTTGCAAATATGAAAAGAATCTCAATCATTGAGTAGAAATTTGCATTTGTGACGCCGGCGGTGAGAACCAGACCACCAAGCACAGCATTAGGATCATTGGCGTCGTAGATGTGGATATCCCGCCCGAATGAGCGATTGAGTGGAGGAATAGCGCGTCCTTGTGACGGATTCAGAGGGTTGGAGGCTTCGGGAGAACCAGACGTTGTTATGGGGGAGGGGGACGACATGGTGGACGCTTAGGAAGCAAAGGTGGCATGAGGATGGCAGATGACAGGTGCAGGCTTGCAACCAGCATGAGACTATGGTAATTAGGTGCAGGAGCCAGAGACGATGGATGGTTCAAGCAAATAAGTGTAGTGACGGTAGTTGAGGTGTCGTACAAATCGAGCTTGAGCTCTGAGCCAAAATCGGATGCCGCGAATCCCCAAAGGGTAGCGCACCCCCGCGCACCCCCGCGCACCAAGGGAGTCGTATTTCAAGCCACAGAATGAGCCACAGAGTGTTATCACGTGATTATACAATTTGGACAGGACGGGCTCGATAAGAGAGGGCAATACCCCGCTGATACCGGTCGATCAATATGAAATGGGAAGGGAATTACACGCTCTGAGAAACCCTTGCCAAAAGTCTTGTCAATACCTAACTGCGCAAGTGAAGTCGTCCTGGGAAGGTGCAGGTTGGCGGGAGAGTTTCGACATCAAGCTTGCGATTAATCATCAGTGGTGATCACGTTTACCTAGCGGGATATTGTTCGATACAAAGGGCGTCAAAATGTGGGCCCTTAAGGAATTCAGACGGAGAGGGAAAAGAGAAGGAAGGGAGGGAAGGAGGGTATGTATTTATGTACCGTACTAGCACCGGCTGGAGACTCATCGCCGCGAAGTATAACATTTCATTCCGCAACATTAAGAGAGTCAAGAAAGAACTCTGTATCAAGCCAAGGGTATCTTCGGACTGAACGGTTCATACAATGCCCTGGTCTAGTAACAAGGGGGGACGTATCTCCGATACCATATCACAACAAATTGTCGACATTAAAGTGGCGCGAAGAGGAGTCTAGTACTATGTACACGAAAACGGCCATAGGAGAGACTCTTATAAATTCGGAAATACGTAGAATTTATGCTGAGAGCACGTGAGTGATTAGGAGTATATAAAATCAAGCACCTTACAAGGTCTAACGGAAAACTCGCCCCTTAGGTACCGGACCGGGCAGCGGCGCACTCGTCAACGCGCTGGCCACTGGAACACCCGCTCCGACATATCTCTGTATTAACTATAACAAGCGATTGACGAGTATTACGAGACAGCACTCTTCGTGAAGACCCAGGTGTCGAACCTTGCTCTATCTACCCTTCTCCTAGATTCCGAAGGGGGACGTCCCTTTTGGGGATTTAGCGTGGTTGGGTAGATTCGACACCAGGTATAGGCGTATGCGGATTAGTCATGGATCGAGGCGATGCCTCGGGTAATAGATGTTGTTAGACAAGTGAAGGAGCAGCGGCATGATGTTCCTATCATCGAAGGAGGGGCAGATTGTTATCTCCTGAGAGCCGGTATTGTACGCCCGTTCCAGGAAAAATTGCTGCGACTTCCTCAAACCATCCTGTAATAGAGATACCATCCAGCTTGATAATTTGCATCTCTATCATGATTAATTCATTCAAGCCATATCGACCACGGCCCGTCGTCCATGATTCAATGAATGAGTTCCAATGGCACACGATCGGTGGGAGCCATGTCTCCTAGAAATCCGGACGCCCCAAGGGCCGACACTATTTTTACAGATTATTCGATAAACATGCGTGAAGAAGCGACACGTAGGGCGGGAAGTAAATGGTAGGCGTGAAACAACCCGGGGAAGTTCTTCGCATCACTGGCATCTCCAAGCGAAATGGTGAACGAGATGAGGAGACGCCGAGGATAGAGGCTCCGTACGGACATGTCTCGGAGGAGATCGGGCGTCCCGAATGAAGAAGGCGATCGGCCATCGAAAACAACCAACATTAGACAAGTGTGTAGAGCAATAACGAATCCGAAGAGACGGAACACCCAATCCATCCATCCTCAGTCTCACATCGGCCGAACCAGGATCATATTTGAAAAAGTGGACGTCTCTTCATTGATTTAGTTGAATCACCATCGCGACTAAGTAATAGCTAAGTGGAAAACAGATTTACCGCTCACGCGCGCTGGAACGATGAACGCGGCGCGGAAGAAGAGAAGGCCGGGCCGAAAATTCATAAACAAGAAGAAGGGGGTATATCGTTCTCTTCCAAAAAAAGGGATAGATGACTGAGTATATAGCGTGGGTGAGGCGCGAAATGCCCGGGCTTATTCGAGGATGTAGTAGATGGTGCCCGAGGCGATCGAGACCTGGGAATATCGTCAGTCGCTGCGACAAAAGATCGTCGACGAGACGGGGGATTGCTTACCGTGCAACCCTTTTCATTGCATCCAGTATCACTGCAGTACTGTCCGTCTTTGTACTCGCACGTCCCCGACATACCGTCCCCTTCCAGGCGGACGGTATACTTCTGCTTCTCGTTCGTTGTCGGCACATTCTGGAAGATGCTTATCCACGCACTTCCGTCGCGGAATCCCACCCCAAAGTTCATGGGAGCGTAGTTGCCAGTGTTTCCGCCGGGCTTCCCCCACTGGCAGCCGTCCTCGACGGACACGCCGGCGGGATTGGCATAGTACTGGGCGGAGGTCTTGGTGCCCTGCCAATTGTAGAAGTTGTCCGCATCAGGGCATGTCAGTGGTACTTCAGTACCAGGCTGAGCATCGACAGGGACCGTTTCGGCCTCGGTACCTAACTTAGGTTAGTGATCATGTTGTGAAAGGCCATCGATGCGGTACGACAGAGCATGTCAACCAGATGTTGAGGGGATCGTCGGAAACCCATCGGGAATATTTGTGGGACTCCTGAGCATCGGACGTAAAAGTGGACGATGATAACTGATTACTCACCTGGATAGTCCGTCCTACAAATAGCAACGTTCTTCCCCATCTTGTTCTTTACTTTGACCGATACTTTGTCGGTGCCCTTTCCACATAGTTGCTTCGTCTTGCTGCTGGTGACCCGAAGTTTTCCGTCCTTGCACAGCAATCCGCCGACACTCTGCCCGGTGGCTCCCTGCATGTCGGGCCACTGAACCTTCTGGTATCCGGGTTTGCAAGCGTAGCTGCAGTATGCGCCTTCGACGCAGCAGTTCCCATCCTCGCACTGACTCGTGGTCACGGTCATGATGTCGTTGAACCCCGTGGTGCTGACTTCGTTCGGCTTCTGCACACCAGTCCAGCCGCCCAAGTTGGTCCACGGAATTTTGACCGCGCCATACTTCTCGGGGAACACGGAGCAGTCCAGCTCTCCATCCGGGAAGTCAGACGCATCTCCGCCGCCTCCCGATGAAAACGAGCTCTCAGAGACTTGAGGTTTCTCCTGCGCTTTCTGCACGGGCTGAGAAGCGGGCGCCGGGCTAGGAGAGGGCGTCGGCTCGGGTTTGGCGGCGATCTGCACATCGCCGCCGTCCTCCATGCGGAGGGTGCCGTTCTTGACGCCCCCTTGGGCTTCGACATCGTCAATTAGGCCTCCGTCGAGCTCATACACCACCACCACGGTGGGGTTGGCACACTCGCGCTTGTGGAATTGGGCATGACCGTGCGGGTGGGGTTTGGCGACGGCGACGGCCGCCAGCAAGGAGAGAACGGCAGCGGTCTTCATTGCGATGGAGTTGCAATTTTATGCGCGAAGTCGGAAAACGCGGTTCTCTCGGAACGAGTGACGAATCGATCGATTATTAGAGCTTCCAATACTTTTGCGACGTGGTCGAATTATTCGCGCGATGCGAGCGAGCGGCAGCGGAGGCCGAGGCGGAGGGAGGGTGCTGGGATAAGATATTCCAAAGAGTGAATGGGAGTACTAGACCCCGATAGTTGGTGGAATATATAGCCAAAGGAAAGGGAGGTGAATGCGACGGAGATGTGAAATCGTTTATGCCATGCAGCGGAGCATTAAGGAGTGAATGTGGTGAAGCGTGAAAGGGAGAGAATGGAGGAGGGATGACAAGCTCGTGAGAGACTGAGGGAAACGGTGAGAGGAGGAATGGTCGTATGGGCAAATGGCGCATTCTGACTGCCGTGGCGGACTGGTAGGAACGAGCGAGGAACAGAGCGAAGGAAGCCAAGACAGGCAAGCACAATTGCACAATTGAACCAATCAGCCAACAATGTAGCAACAACCAACCCAATGAAGCATCGCTGCCCGGCCCGTGCAGCCAGTCTAACTCTCAGCTGTCGTGTAACCGGCAGGCGCAATGAGACTTGGATTCTGGCCAAGCAAGCACTGATGTACGACAGTTTCCACTCCTTCCACTCCTTCAAGTGCTGCAGGGGTTGGGTAGGGGTTGTCATGGAAAAGAGAGCCGCCAGTTAACATCCATAGCATATGGTTGGCCGACGCTATTCCGTACCTGCACTAGGCAGTCGGGCCAAGCCGCCATCCCAAGCCAGAAAGCTTTCAATCTTTCACTCCGGAAATTGGCTTGTCAATATTTGCGAATCACCTCAATTTACCCATACGATCTCTCCGGTCACTGGTAAGACTGAAGGATGGGTTGGAACTTGGAGTGCGCGAACTAAGCCGTCTATTAGCGGTTTCGGTCACTCGTCACTCGTCACCCCATCTTGATCTTCATCCGTTGGAAATTGGAGATTGGAATTCGGCAATGCAGAAGTCCAGACCCGACCGAACTTCTGATCAACACTCCCCTCCCCAGATCAAAATCCATGCTCAACTGTCACTCACTGCTCCACACATCACTAGATCAGCGAACAACTATCCTAACAAGGGAAATGATGACCACCGCCTTAACTCTAAAAGCTTTGCACTAGCATTCAATGGTCTTGAAATATCACGAACTGGAGAAATTACCATCGTCAAAGACTCAGGATTGAAGGGACAAGAACCTCTCCTGCCGTCAACCAATTTAACATTTCTACCAGTGGACGATCCCATCCGAGTTTAGAACCCAACCAATGCCTTTGTTATGTTCCGAACCATTATGCCTCAATCGCCGTTGACTGTTTCTTCTCTTGAGCTCCTGTCCAATGGAGGCATTCTGATCCTGAATCCTGAATTATTGGGACCGCTGGCGCCGAATTGACGCAGGCGGCAAAGACGTAGGAGCGCCGAGTTTTTGCCTTTGGACGTCTGGATCGTATCATGAGTTATACTTGCAACTTGAACGAGGCATGTGGCTTTGTTTTGTTGTGGTGATTCTGGGCTCTGGCGAATATGTAAAACATCCAGCTGGACTGCTGGTGGTATTCCTCAATCTCGCTTGTCCGCGTGTTTTGACCAATCGGCCAGGAGAAACATCTCTGGCCAGTGGCCAAGCACTACTCCGTACAATTACTCTACCTGATGGGTTGGCGTGAGGCGTTTGAGCAATTTCAATTTGGGTGAATTTAATGCCGGAAATCGGAATCCCATCGTTTCGATATTCCGGAAAATTGGCTCTCGATCGTGAGGCTCGGCTTAGGGGGGTGGAGATTTTGGGGATCTTGATCTCGAGCCAGTTGAGTCGAATATTGCTTGTTCTGGGACCCGGACTCCTTTAAGTCACATCTCCTGTAGCTTCGTCTGGACGTTGACTGAAGAGTGGCGATGATTTCTCACGTCGGTTCAAAACAACCGTAGCTCTACCCAGCAATAGCTTCTATTTTATATCCGACAGGAGACATTGGTCGGATCATCACTTGGTCCATCTTTCGTGATATCAATGCCAACCTGCTCGAGGACATAGCTGCCTTGAGATTGGTCCGGTCCATGCCTCCATGAGTCCATGGTGATTTTCCGACTACCCTACGTACAAACATACATATCTCCGACGGTGAGCTAACGACGGTCGAACAATTCAATGTGGTATGTAACACGAATTGATGTCTGTTAGTGTGCATGCAAATGCACCGTTGTACCGTACCTATCTTATCTTGACCAGTTGTGGAGCACGAGACGGACATCGTCGTCATCAAGCTGTGCGCCATGTACGACCTTGCCAAAGCATTGGGACAACGGTTTCAGCCGTGTGTCACTCGATGGTGCTTACATATGTATTTGCCTTGGGTTGGATTGGATGTCGTCGAAGGGAGGGGCAGCAATCAGTGTACAAGTAGAGAAAGATGTTAAATTCTTCGAGCTTTGGGATTCATCTTTCAGTAGTAAGTCTAATAAACGTCTGTTTTTACACCAATTGTACACGTGAATACAAGGACATTGCGCCTTGCTATACAACTAGTCCTCTATAATATGTCTGTATATCGTATGCACCAAGACGACACCATCCCTCCGCCAACCGATCAGAAATGTAAACCCCCAAGTCATCACACCTGCAATTCCTGGACCGGCTTCCCAAACACCCTCGGATACCGATGCTTCAATCGGTCCCAAACCGACATCTCTTGAGGTTGTGCTTGCTGCATCTTGATCGCTGCCGGGGCCCTCGCCGGCTCCAACAATGTCGGGCTCTCACCCCTCAACCTCTGCCTCTGCCCCTCCAGGCTTCCTTCTGCCAGCACCTGATTTAATCGCTCTTGGATCTCCTCGAGGCTAGGCGCCGGTGGGTCCCTCGGATCCGGCGCCACGAACCCCACGGCGACCGCCCGCTCGCCCCAGTTCTTCGTCGGCGCCTCCTCCGTCTCCCCCTCGATAGTATGCTCCCTCGCCACGTCCTGGAACACCTCGGGGAACGCCCGGACCAGCGCCGAATCCACCCGCCACTGTACCCGCGACATCTCGCTATGCTCCACCGCCTCCGGCCAGTCGGGCGCGTACTCGTTATCTGGGAAGTTGTACCACTGGAGATGCACGCCTTCCATCGTGAACTCGGACGGCTGTTTGCCCAACATCAGGTTCCGCCTATGTCCGTGCTTCGGCAGCGGGAGCTTGCCTGCCCGATAGAGCTCGGCCCGTTGGTCTTCTTCCGCATCGCGCGCAGCCTGCTCCTCCGGGGTAGGCGGCGGAGGGGAGGGGCCATCGCCGTTGGGACCGTATGTCTGAACAGCAAGGCGCATGCGCCGGTCGCGGATCTGAAGATTCCAGATGCGTTTTCCGAGCTTCGTGCGCTGCTCGCGGGTTTCTTGGGTCTGCTCTTCCAGTCCCTTTAATTCCAGGAGTTCCGCTCGTGCGGACTTGATTTTCTCCTTAATTAACTCGAGCTCCTCCGGCGTCGCCAGCCTCGCGAGCTCTCGGTCTCGAGCTTCGTCTTCCGCAGCCTTTTCGGCCGCTTTGGCTTCTAGCGTCTGTGCCTTCTCTTGCTGTCGTTCGCCCGCTTCTTCTTGTAATCGTAGCACCTTGGCCACGTCCGCAACCGAGTTCGCCTTCTGATCCATCAAGTGTCGCGCAATTCCCCTCTGGTCGGGTAAAAACTGGTGCTTGGGCATGTCGAGGCGTTTCGCGTCTTCTCTTGTGAAAAGTTCTTTCCAATGCAGTTCTCGGAGCTTCCGGAGTTCTCGGAGCTTTTTGAAGGCATCGAGGCCTTGTCGACCGGTGGGAAAACATAATGTGACGAGTGGCACCCAATTATCTTTTCTTATGGCCGCCGGTTTCGACTTCTTTCCGACAAAGGGGATCTGTCGCAGCATCGCACTGCCCTGGTAGAGGTGAGTCGGGAATCTCAGTCCAAGGTTGGGCATGCTTCATACCTTCATCTGCTGTTGTAGGGAGTACACCACCTGCTTCGTCATAATATGGGTATAAGCAAATACATATCTGCCATTCTCGACGCGTGTCGCATCCTTTGTCCCCAAAGGGATGAACTTCTGTCGGATGACCCTCTTCATCTTCTGTCGGATGACCTTCGTCATCTTTGTAGCCCTCCGGACGTTATCTTCCTGCTTGAATTGGAATCATTGGCCTTGGCCCAAAGCGCGATGAGGTCCGCAAAACAGGAATGGATACAATGAACGTATTGGCTTGGTTGCAATGAATGGTGAGCCTCGATGTCTGATCAACTCAACTGCTGGATTGATTCAAGAAAATGTGTGAGCTACACACGGCAACTTCCGGAGCACTTGGAAAATTATGGGTCCATATCAATAGCACCACGTGACCGGATTCCACGCGTTGAGCTTGGGATGCGAAGCACATGCTGACGCTTGCTGTAACAAGAAGCTCCAAGTACAAGACACCACGTCAACCACCTATTATGTTTACCGGTAGCTACGGGTCACTGTGAATGTTCTCTATGTGCAAGGCATGATCGCTGCAGCGATGCGTTTGCCGTTTAAAAATGCCGTCGCAGAAGTCTCGTTTCTCCATCTCGACCTCCTATGCGCATCGTCCTCTACATTCCAGGAGACGGAGAGTGACCGGGACCGTTTGACGCGAAGAGTAAAACCTTACCTAAAATCCTCAAAATATGGCGCCTGAGTCGGACCAACAAGAAGTTGCAGACGAGCCCAATGGACGCCGTCGTGAGCGACCATGGTTGTTACCATATGTAAGACCGGAAACAAATCTTGGCCGAAGATCAAGAGCTGCGCTCATTACAGATATTATAGAACCGCCGCTTACGAAATCTTAATGGAATAACCTTGAGGAATGTAACCTTGCATCCGAAGTCCGTCAAACGATCCCGCCGCAAAACCATCGACGATGACGCTTTACCGTACGCCCTCAAGACACCAGGGAAGATCGTATTGCATCGTGATTCTAGGGGGTGGGATAAAGGGGTGGAGCGCTCTCGGTCAAGTAGCGATTTGAAAGCCGCTGCCAAGGACTCTTTCCGAGAAACACAAACGGTTAAAGAGAATGGGCTGCTAGAACAGGAACCTGTGGTACAAGACAGTGGCCTAGTCAATGGAACGCATGAACTAGGTAAAAACCGTAGTAAAGAGGGTGGAAACGTTCCTGAAGATAGGCATGGATCCGTACCGAACGGTCTACCGCATACGCCACAAACATCAGCAAAGGCTCGCTCCAGCAGTCAAGATCAGGATATGGCCCCGTTACGGAAGACATCGTCGAAACTGAGGAGAAGAAGTACGATAGAGCAGTGGTATGAGAATGCGCCAGCCAGACAGAACCGATGGTTCGAAGCGGTGCATTCTCATCTCCTCGACGTATTCTTTTCCCTCCATATTTCTGACGACCCGGAGCCAGTCTACGTCAGCGAAATTGTCAAGGATACAATGAATCCCAACTTTCGCCATTTCGATCTGTCCAACTGTGCTCCATCTATCAGTCGGAAAGACGGCATTGTTGTCAAAGTCTGGACAAAAGGATATGGAGGCAGTTCTTTTAGGCACCTCGTCGAATTGACTGCCGACCTTCGCGCCCTGCAATTCATTGGAAGGGACCTAGCGCATTTCCACCACCCGTTTCCCGACAACTGTGTTATATTTCATCTTAGCGACGGTATATATACCTCTTTTACAGACATCCCGATGTCCGAAACCTTTCAATCCTTTGCACCAGGACCATGGGGCCGACCCGGCGATTCCCGCCCCCCCGAACCGGTTTCTTCATACGACCAACTGATGCGACTGGGGACGTTGGATCAGTGCCTACAGGATATGCTGAACAGTCGCGCCCGCTTTAAATCACGGCTCGACGAGTTTCTTGTCGAAACTCGACCGGAAACTGAAGCGGTTACACTCCTTCCTTCCGCGAAGCAGCACGCTGCCGAGGTGGAGAAGGCCATTGACCAACAAACAAAACGGAACGCAGCCAGGAAAAAACAAACTATTGAGCTCCAGGATTCGTTATCAAGTCGCCGTCAACTGATGGCTGCTGGACGAGCAGCGATGGACAAATCGTTATCGGAAATGGAGGCAGCAGAGCCAGAGACGATTGCTGTGACGAACGCAACTTCAGGAGTGCAAATCGAAACCCAAGCCCATCGACGTCGCGTCTGTACAGACCTTGAAGTAATCTACCCCATCGAACCCACTCCCGGCAAGAGCCTTTCGTTTACCATTCGTGGGCTGGCACTCCCGGATGCGCACGAAGCTGTCGACATGGCCGAATCCGACTCCGAACGCGAGAAATTGGGTGCCGCGCTGGGGTTTGTGGCACAGATGCTGAAAATGCTGGCAGCGTACATGGGATGGCCGCTCCCGTACCCGATCGAACCGCAAGGCTCGACGTCGTGGATCGAAGACCCTATCTCCGTGATGCCTGGCGACGCTGGCTCCTCCGCGACGGCATCCGCGACAAGCGCGTCTGCTAGCTCGGGGAGCAAGAAGAATCGGAGATATCCCCTGTTTGTCAAAGGGGTTCCCAAGTTCCGGGCGGAATACGCATTCTTCTTGCTGAACAAGGATATCGAGATCCTGGCTCAGCATATGGGACTGAGGCTGTTAGACATCAGGCAAACATTACCGAATCTGAAATACATCCTCTTCGTCGCCACTGCTGGAGAGGGAGAGTTGCCTGAAAGGAAGAAGGGGGGTGTTCGGGGACTTGGGACGGCCTTGAAGGCATCGTCAGCTGTTTCTGGTGGAGGAAGATCTCGGATAGCCGGTACCAAGAGGTGAAAAGTGGAAGGGTATTTGGAACTTCTATGCCATGCGCCTTTGCCTTTGCGCGCGATAGAAAGACATGGACTATTTGCTACGGGTTTGGTCGAAATGATACCCAAGATTTACGGTTCATTGGTTCATTAGCACGGGTTTAGCCGGCTCAGTTCAGATCATAACTAGCCGCATAACAGGTGGTAAATACAACTACCTATTATCCAATGCGACGGCTGATACTCCGATCGTGACGTCGGATCTCAACTTCGAGACCTGAATCCAGCTAGGATACACATCCATCCCGTTTCGATGAGCTCCGCAAGGATGCACGGTTACGCCCCCGACGCGTGAGATTGGCGACCACCCCGGGATATGACGTCACCCGCCAACGATCTCTAGGGTCTCGATATCACCCTGATACTGTGATGTATGAAATGCAGCACCGATTGGATCTCCATGCCAATTCGGCCGCTCGAAAGCCAAGTTATAGGAGTTGCAATTCGGGGGGCGTGAATATTGCGGGCCATCAGGGCCTGGAAACCAGGAATTGGAGGAGCATCCCTCCGAACGACATCATCGCCCCCTCTATTGATTTCGAACCCTGAAAGGCTTATGGTATATTGAGACCGCAGTGTTGGACTTGGTCGAAGATTGTCTATTAAAACAGCAAATACTTCGATTTTCCTCTATCAGAATCATCAACTTCCAATGAAACCTACCCCGCGTTCCATACGAATATCGGCTACACAACATTGAAACGACATATCAGAATAGCTATCGACCATGGAGACCCTATCCAATGTAGCGTCCAACGTCTCGACGTCGGCTCAGAAAATTCTCTGGGGCGAACAGGCGGGACAGCAGCAGAACGAGACTGGTGGAATAGAACCTCTGTCCGGTGAGAAGGGTCGCGGTACGCTCGATTCACCGTTCGACAAAGGCAACGAAGGTATGTATTCTTACCTTTTATTCTTACCTTTATGATCCCGACATATACCTGATCCGCTGCACCATTCTGGGTTGCTATTGAATAGAAACTAACAGACCCATCAGATCCATCCGAAGTCGGTCCCAGCGCCGCGAGTGCCTCCAGTGCCTCCAGTTTTCCGAGTGCTTCCAGCACTTCCAGCGTCTACAGTGCCGTGAGTGATCCTAGTGCCTCCAGTTCTCAGAGTGCCTTTATGGCTCCGGGTACCACTGGAATTTCAACGGCTCCTGGCGATTTGACGGCTCCGGGCGCTTCGACGGGTGCTAAGACTCCGACGGGTCCTAAGGCTCCGAGAGCTGCTGAGGCCCCGACGGCTGCTGCGGCTTCGGCTACTACTGATGCTCCGACCGCTCCCAGTGCTCCCAGTGCTCCCGCCGCATCATCCAACCCGAGCACCAGTGCAACCGCCGGCGCCGGCCACGAAGTCGGTTCCGCAGACCCCAGCACCGCGCAGAAGCCCACACAGAAGCACCAAGGCGCCGACCGACCGACCGAAGAACCATCGGGCGAGGATGCGAACCCCGAACAGATCATGGCGAAGCGTGGCCCTAATGACCATTCAGGGGAACCGATGCGGACGCACGACGGCACGGAGCACAGAGATGAGAGAGAGGGCGAGACGAACACGACGAAGAACGAGAATGAGGGAACGGGCCAGCAGCACGTTAAGACCACGGGGCTCGCGGCGGAAGGCGGGGATTTCGATGCGACGATGCCCGGAGCGGGGACGGAAGCGAGTCGTAAGTTCTATTGAACCCGTGAAAGCTCCCCTCGCGATAGTGATATCTGACACGTTAATAATATAGGTATCAAGAATAAAAAGGGTATCAGCGAGGGTGTCACAGGCCAGACCGATCTCACTGCGCCATCGGACTCCCATAAGGGCGCGGGCGGATCGGGATCGCCTATGAAGCGGAGCGACAGGCTTCGGGAGAAGCTACATATCCATAAACACTGAAGTAGTGGTTCTGCTACACGGATTGCTGGGTCGGCACTGAGAGATCGACGTACAGCATTTCATTCACCCAGGGCAAGCTCACTTCAAGAGCCGCCAATCTGATGATATCCCCCACGAACCCCTTGGTTTGGGTTTCGCGTTATAGCAATATCTAATTTCTTGAATCTTCTTCCATGCGACGATGCCTCTGAAACGGAGGGCAACATGCAACCCGTTGATAGATATCGCGCGGCTCAAGTCTTGATCTTGGACCATTTGGTCTCCAGCCCTTCTTTCAGATTGTAAGAACGCTATAACTGTGATCCAATGCGTTCTGCACCGACTACATCATGCGCTCCCGGAGGCCGTTCCGTGACTCTGGGTACCGTCAATCCCCTTCCGAGAATAGCTCTCCTCAGCCAGTATCGGAGCTCCGATTCCGCAACCCACCCCCTCCAACATTTCACCTCGCCTCCTTCCCCTCCACCATTAACCCCTGCACACCCCCCCACCCCTCCCTCCCTTCCCTCCCATCCACCCCCTCCTCCCACCACCCCTCTCTCCCAATCGTCTCCTCCCCATCCAGCTCTGCTAGCCCGGACAATACAACCGCCAGCTGCGAAAAGAACGCGTTGACCGAGACGCGCAGCATGCGCGCGGTGGTGGCCGCGTAGGTGACCTCGAGGCGGGGGTGGAGCGGAGCGGAAGGGGAGGGATGAGGGGGGTAGAGGAAGGTGCGGGAGACGAGGGGAGAGATTTCCGGGTCGATTTCGATGGCACGGCGGATGATGAGGGCGTGGCGGGGGGGGATGGGGAGAGTGAGGGTGCTAGGGCGGTTAGGTGGATTTTGGAAGGAGGATGGGCGGGGACTTACATGCTGTGGGGGAATTTTGGATCAGCCTTGTCACCCATGTTGGTTGATGTTCAAGACGATGGCATTGAGGGCCTGGTTAGGAAGCTTGGATCTGGTCGCCGTCGGAAGTTCAGGTGAAGATGAAATTGGCCGGATTGCTTGTCACGATGGGATATTCGGAACCCCACAACTTACAGGGATATCCCCTGCACTTCTTCACTCCATTGATCTGATGTTATGGCGGCATAGTGACGTCGGTGCAACACTGTATACCAAATATATGTACAGTACCGTACACAGCACTAGTAGTACCTATGGAGTCGAGAAATGAACCGATTTAAAACCCAATTAAGCACCAACTGACTATCCAACTCAAGCACCATCTCTATCTTGTCTCATCTCTCCCTAATCCAAGACCATGACATCTCCATCCCCCTCCGAATTCCTCACCTTCTTCCGCTACACAACCATGGCTTCCAGGTCCCTCCTCCGATCATCAGCCTCGTCATCCCCCCGCCGAACCCTCCCCAGTCCTTCCTTCTCCAAATCCTTCCATTCCGCCACCCCAGCGCTAGCATACGGGCATCCGAGCACCAACAAACCCGACCCGTTCAACGTCCGAGAGGACGCGAAGCACGCAACGCAGAAGCCCGGGGACGACCCGCAGTCACTAGAATCTCGGTTAGGAAGGCAGTAAGTCACTGCCCGAACGCGCCACGAATCCATAGTCCCGTGCCGTGGGCCGCATTCCATGGCGGACACTCCGGAATTTGTCGCTGATCAGAATCGCAGGGCTAAAGAGCGACGTGGTAGTGATAATGCCACCGGGGAGAAGGATACAACGTCGTCGACGGCAAGGACGAAGAAGGAGCATCCGGAAGCCCCGACATTGATTGGGATGCAGGATGAGAGAGGGAAGAAGGGGACGTGAAGGGATGGAAGGACAATAGGGTTGCATAGGTGGTCTTCACAAATGGCAGATTGCTCCCTTTCTCGTCGAGGTATTGCATCGCATCGCATCGCATCGGAGCCCGCACCAGATGGACACGGCATTTAGAGCAGATCTCCTATATACATAATTAATGCGAGAAAAGGACCGATCAGAGACGTTATTACCTGTATATCCAACCAACCACTCCCGTCCATCCCACTACTTTTCATCAAACCCCGTCCGTCCAATCGCCAGCACCACCACCAGACTTGTCACGATCAACGCCCCCGCACACCCCGCAACCAACACTACACTCCCTCGACTCGCCGGAAACCGCCCCCGCAGTATATAGTGCTGCCCCTCGAAATACCGATGATACCCCGTGAATAGCACCACCATCGCCACGGCGATGAACGTCGCCCCGAGCGGCTTGCCAACGTGTCGGAGGCGCGTTTCGATGCCCGATGGGGATTGTTGGGCGAGCCAGGTGGGCGAGGCGGCGTCGAATAAGGACGGGGAGGCGGCGTCATTGGTGGCGATGGAGGTGTTGAGGCGGAAGAGCTGGGTGACGGCGATGCCGATGGAGGCGAAGGCGAGTGAAGTGCGAAGCCAGGCGAGGAATGTTCGTTCTGTGCATCGTGGATTAGCATTGCGCAGTCCTCAAGGTGGTTAAAGAACGTAGGGGATGGACGAACCTAACGCCAGATGATCGCGCGCCACGCTCCCTTTATTATCCAGCTCCACGCTTCCGTATTTCTCCACCACTTCCCTCCACCACTCCGCGACTCCCCCGCGCGGCTTCCGCTGCACCCCCTCCGATGCCGACGTTCGGCTCTCCTCGCCGGTATCTGACCGGCTCGACCCCCTCGCCCCCTCCGTCGAATGGCTACCCGATGAATTCCGGGTCCGGGTATTCGTCCCTGTCGTCGAGTATCCTCTCGCCGAGCCGGTCGCCGCGATCTCCCGTGACGCGAACGCCGTCCGCTCGTTCGCATCGTCAGTCGCCGGTTGCTTGTGTAATATGGGTGGATTGAATCGAAGGCTGGAGGAGGGTCTCACCCCGGGCTGCGATGCGTGCGGGAGAGATTCGTCTGGGTGGGAGCGCGGGCTGGGAGATCGAGCAGAGCGTGGGCGCGGGGTTGCGGAAGGGTTAGACATGTTGACCGTCGGTCGGGGATTAGATTGTTTCTATCTAGGCACATGCTCCCCTAGGATTCCACGTTAGAGTCCGAGTTCGTGGAATGATGGAATGCGTTGATCGTGAAGACCGGGGCACAGGCCGCCTTTGCATGAAAGAACTGGATAGGTGAACTGGACATACGTACAATATAGCTGGCCGCCCAAGTGTATGCTTCGTTTATGATGCCCACTTCATTCGACCATTATCATCTTAAATGTTGCGGGGAACTAAGCAATGACATTACCCTGTTATGTACAGCTGGATCGGAGTCGCGATATCACCAGATGTTGGCGTGCTCGATCATGGCGCACCGTAGGACATGGCTGATGCAGGTTCCTGCAGCCGCTGTAGTGGATGGGGGGGCAGGGACGGCACCGGACTGGAGGCCTAGGCCCTAGACTTCCCGTCTCTTGAACCCCGATTCGGCGATTCGAATCGAGAGCTGCTCATCGATAATTCGACAGCGATAATCCCTACAGATAAACAATGCAGGAATCTCTCAGCAGGCGCTTCAGATTTCATCCCCCTCCTTCGCCCCTCCACCATGCTCTTCATGATCATCGAGCATTTCACCAATGCTCCCGCCGTGTACGCCCGCTTGGCGGAGGGGGGTCGATTGGCTCCCGCGGGGTTGACGTATATCGCGAGCTGGGTGGCGGAAGACATGAGCCGATGCTATCAGGTCATGGGAGTGCGAGGATCGGTCGCTGCTGGAGGACTGGATGAGGAACTGGGCGGATCTGGTGCGGTTCGAGGTGGTACCCATCATCGCCTCCGCGGAAGCGGCGGTGGTGCAACGGGATGATCATACGGGGGCGTCGGCATAGGATACACTGGTACGAGTACGTGTCACGGTGTCACTAGATAACCGAGTCGTCGAAGACTGAGCTGAAATAAGAGACGGTAGGAACCTGACGTTTTGCAGGTTTTCATTTGGGAGCCGATCCAATCTTGGGGTCTATAGCAGCTCGTGGTGTATTCTTCTACAATCGTCCGAAGCCGCTCAGCAATAGCCCTTACAGCCATTGATTTTATGCATCATCCCATCCAACCACAGACCCCCTCCAACAACGTATGATAGCCATGAAGACTTTTTGAACATCGTCTGGAACTCCTTTAGAGCGCCCTTTTGATTCAATCCGGTCTGACCATGGCCACCTCCCAGAATGATAATGCATTGTCCGACCAATGACAGGTTGTCATCATGTTCACATTCCCCGATTTCAATCCATCATTTCTTTCGTCGATTTGCCCGCGCGGCTGCTCTTGATCACCCTCTTCACCTTCTCCTCAACCACATCCCAGTCGTCGGTGGGAAGGGTAACGAGTACGATCCCGAAGTGTGCCTGGATGTCCTGCAGCTGTTGCCACGATGATCGGTCATGCACGAAGCTGATGGCGACACCGACGCGGCCAAACCGACCGGTGCGACCGATGCGGTGGAGATACGTCTCAGGATCAGCCCGGCCCCCTTTTGATTCGGGAATGTCCTGGTCGACGTTAGATTTGCCACAGACGAGATCACGGTTAACGCAAACTTACGTAGTTGATGACCATGGTGACGGACTGGACGTCAATTCCACGGGCAAGGACATTGGTCGTGATGAGGACCTTGGCGGCCCCCGATCGGAACTTGTCGATGATGACATCGCGCTCGGGTCCTTCTAAGGCACCTGACAGCTGAGCCACTTGATGCCCATCCGCTTCCATGCGACGTTGAATCTCCGCGGCAGTGTCACGTCGCTAATATCGATTAGCAAAGGAAAGATCTGAGCCGTCATTTGGAACTGACCTTGACGAAAATAATGGAGGACGCGATGGTCATAAGACCGTAGAACTGGAGGAGAATACGATATTTATCCTCGTCACCATTGCAGTCGAAATAGAACTGCTTGATGCCTTCGACATTCAACTCCTCTTGCTTTAGGGTCAACAGGTTCGATTTGGGTGCAAAGATATTGGCGTAGTGGATGACCTCGGTGGGAAATGTGGCCGAGAAAAGTACCACTTGCAACTCTTTGGGGAGGAGACTAGCTGCAGTCAGTACTACCATTTAGAAAGCCGGGCATTCATAGATACTCACTTCTTCACCCGCTTGCATTGATCTCCCATCCCTTGCTGGTCAAGCATGTTGTCTGCCTCGTCCAGGACGAGAATCTTGATCTTCCTCGCATCCAGCTGTCGCCTTCGAATCTGATCCATAACCGTGCCGGGTGTTCCCACCACGATTTGTCCCTCCGTCTTGACTCCACGCTTGGATGGATCGGGAATTGCCGTGGCGACCCGCAGCTCGTCGATGAACCTCCCCATTTGCTTCACCACCCCCTCGATTTGCCGGGCCAGCTCACGGCTAGGCGCAAGCACCAACGCCTGGGGAGACAGGTCCGTGCGATCGATACGATGGAGCATGTTCAGCGTAAAGGCCGCCGTTTTCCCCGTACCGGACTGCGACTGGCCAATGAGATTGGCGGGAGGATTGTGCAGCAAGAGCGGAAGAGCGCGTTCCTGGATTTTGGAGGGACGACGGAAGTTCATGGCATAGATCCCTTTAAGGATGTCTTCGGGGCTATATGACTTAGTGCCATAGCTCAAGGGCGAGAGATTGAACATACAGGCTCAGGTCATCGAACGACTTGACGGAGTAGAGAGGGTTGGAAGGATCGGCCTGGAGATCGGCAAGCTTGACGTCCACGTCGAATTCCGGTTCATTGAGGCCGGAGCCATTATTCGCGGCGCTTGCGCCATCTGCCTGTGACTCGCCAAGGTCTGATTTCGTGTCGTCTTTGGTCTCGGTTGAAGCGGTCGGAGGCTCGGTGGACGGTTCGGTGGAAGGTTTGGCAGGAGGATCGAAGGAGACACGGTCATCCAGAGAGGTTGGTTTAGCCTCGTCGGCCATGTTCGCTGTACGATAATGACGAGATGTACGAGTGTGGATATGGGATTAGTGGAATGGCGGGGATGAACGAAGAGGGTTGTGGGAGTGGGGGAGCGTTGACAAAAGGATGAAGGAATTGATATGTTCTCAGACACGGGAAGACTGGAATTCAGGACACAAGCAGACTGAGATCAAGTGAGACTAAGCAACTGTAATTTACAGAGGTCAGTACGGTAGCCAGGAATTCTAAGCTCAATAATGTGTGTATCGGATGGAAATCCAAGGATTAACATGGAGAATTTGGGTTGAAGTTGTGAGTGACCGCATTTGGTATTTGTGCCTCAGGCATGAATGCAATGAAGTATCATGTGACTCTTGGTCTGGACCCTGCCCCGCAATGTGCCACGCTGCACGTGGTGTGTACTGAAAACTCAAGGCTCTAAGGCGTCAAGGCAAAAAGACGCCCTCATGGTGATGCCACACATGCAGCGGCACCACCACTGCCACTCCTCCCACTCTGGTAATGCCGACTTTCCTGACGGCATCGGATAGGATATTCATGTTAGAAGGGACAACTTGATGTACCGTAATTGCCAGCACTATAATTCCTGCAATTCTGTATCCTTAAGTCTCATTCTATGGTCTTTTAATACAATCGTCTCTTCCCAACTCCCACCGCAATAGTCCGTCCCGAAAGCCGTCTGCATGCCTCCACCCTCCCAACCAACCCACTCTATCCTACCTATAATACAATGGCGGAAGTCGACATCAATCCAAGCTTTGGCGCCGAGCTGAAGGTGCGTCCTCTATGCTAATGTCCAGTGCAGCCAGGGCTTACCATATATCTAGGATGGCTTCAAAACCGTGAACGCTTGGGTAAGGCCGGTTTCTCTCCTACACCGTCGCACCGCCCGTCGATTAATAGAGCACGAAGTTGACTTTGGATGGTTTAGGTGGGCAACGGAATTCTCTGGCTCGATGATATACAACAGTTCTACCGGGAGAGGTCGGTGATCGAGAAGGAGTATGCGGGCAAGCTCAGTGCCCTCGCGAAGAAGTACTTCGAGAAGAAGGCCCGGAAGTCAAGCAGCATGAGCGTTGGAGACACCCCAACCGTGACTCCTGGCTCGTTGGAAAGGTATGGATGCTCTTGAAACCAATCGTAGGCTGAGACGGGGATTGACTTCAGTAGCGCATCGATGACCACCTGGACGGTTCAACTGACGACGCTCGAACAACGGGCGGCCGAACACGACCGATTCTCGACACAACTCGTTGGCCACGTGGCGGATGTGCTCAAGGCATTGCAGATGCGCTATGAGGATCTCCGAAAGGCCCATACTGAGTATGCGGCGAAACTGGAGAAAGAGCGAGATGCGTCCTATGCCGACCTGCGGAAAACGAAAGGCAAATATGACTCGGTCTGTCAGGAGGTTGAGAACCGGAGGAAAAAGACGGATAGCGCATTCGACTACGGAAAATCGAAAGCGACGGTGGCATTCCAGCAGCAACAGGCAGAGATGCACAACGTCAAAGTTAGCACCGGAGATCTAAAGAGACAACTGGATTGGCTAACTGTGGCAGAACACCTATATCATAAATATAAACGTGACCAACAGGCAAAAGGAACGATACTACAACGAATATGTCCCGGAATTATTGGATGTAAGGCTCACCAGCCGACAGTGGATTCCTCGCTAATAGCAACTTCAGAGCATGCAAGGCCTTTCAGAGACTCGAGTCGCGAAACTTAACTCAATCTGGTCCCTTGCGGCTCGAATAGAACACGAAGTGATGACTCGAAGTACATCCTATCTTGACCATCTCTCATCCGAAATCCCTCGCAACAACCCCGCCCTTGACTCGATGATGTTCGTGCGACACAACGCCGCTCCCTGGGCGGAACCCGGCGATGCCGTCTTCGAACCCTCGCCTGTATGGCATGACGATTCGTCCATCATGACCGACGAGACCGCGAAGAACTTCCTCCGCAATGTGCTCACGAAAAGCAAAGGGCAGCTTTCGGACTTGCGGAGGGATATCGACCGGCAGAAACGAGAAATCGAAGGGGCGCGGAGAGTAAGATCGAACATTCGAGAAGGCAAGGATAACAGAGATGAGGTCGAGGTGGTCCGAGCCATATTCACATTGCAGGAGAACCTGCATGAAGTGCAACGGCAGCTGGTCACGGCGGAGACGGAGATCACGACAATAACGAACGTGGTGGGAGACGTAAGCATCGGGGCGCGCAATCATGACTTCAAAGGGGAAACATTCAAGATCCCAACAAACTGCGATTTCTGCGGCGAACGCATCTGGGGGCTCTCAGCGAAGGGGTTTACTTGTCGCGACTGCGGCTTCACGTGCCATAGCAAGTGTCAAATGAAGGCTCCTGCCGACTGCCCAGGGGAGCAATCCAAGGAGGATAAGAAGAGATTAAAGACCGAGCGACAAGAGGCCGCTCATGTACTAGATGGGAGTCGCACGAACGGTTCCGTCTCGGCCTCCCCATCGGTGCCAGAGCTACCGGGCAATATGCCTGGTGTGAGCCGCACGGGCACCGTTACCTCACTCAACACGCTGAGTTCGGGGTATTCGGCCCAAGGGCAACGAAGTGTGTCCACCAGCAGCGTCGTGCCAGAGATGGAAGGGGACACGCCCGCGTCAAGCATGGTTGAGAAAGACTCGACCGTGAAGGCTTCGAAGCCTGCTGCCGGTCGACGGCGCATCCTGGCTCCTCCACCAACCGCATATGCCGGCGACAGCGGCGGGGATGGCGCGAGCGACAGGCAGCAGAAAGGCAAGATGATGTACGCCTACGTCGCTAACGGCGAGGGGGAGATCAGCGTCCAGGAAGGCGACCCGGTCGTCCTTGTCGGGCCCGATGGTAAGTCCTTAGAATCCTACGTGCCCTCCTCCCCATACTGACAACCCCAGACGGCTCCGGCTGGACGAAAATCAAATGCAACCTCTCCACCGGCCTCGTTCCCACCTCCTACATCGACCTCCACCCCCAGCCCCCATCCGCCGTCAGCGCCATGCTTGCCGCCCCCGAGCGGCCCGGCAGCGCGTATTCCAACTCCTCCGCGTCCCTCACCTCCAGTGCACCCGCCGCGAAGAAAAAAGGCCCCGTCGTGGCCCCGCGAAGGGGGGCGAAGAAGCTGAAGTACGCGGAGGCGTTGTACGACTACGAGTCGCGGAGCGAGGCGGAGCACTCGATCGCGGAAGGGGAGCGGTTTGTTTTGATTAGTAAGGATAGTGGGGATGGGTGGGCGGATGTGGAGAAGGGGGGGGTGGTTAAAAGCGTGCCGGCGAACTACATCCAGGAGATGTAGGATTTATGAGGGTTGGACGGGACGACCTGTGGGAGATATTCTTGGATCGTGCAGATTCGTCATTCGAGATATCACCAAGATTTTTATGATGATTATCCAGGGCGTCCTAGTATGTATAGTGAATGTCTTGACCTCCTGTGTGAATTGGGGGAATTGGGAGGGGTCGTTGCAGCATTGCCACTGACAGGGGGTGGGGCATTATTGCACCAACTGCCCCACCCCCTTCACATCCTGGGATCTCCTCCGTCCCCAATCTCTCCTCCGCATTACCCTCAAACACGAGGCAACGAAATCGCAAGCGACCTCTCCAAACACAGAGGATGTCCTCATTTCTAGATCCAATTCAATTGAACTCCGATCGTCACGACACAATCAAAATCTTGGAGTTCCGTTGATGAAACGATCCATCAGCAAGGGTTCTGCGCCCTGCACCCTGCAGCTAAGCTGAAGATCCTGGCCTAGACCTGCCGCATTCGTCACCGCAGCGATGATTCATCGCTCAGGCGGACTTGGCTTCCGCTAGCCGACTGCAAGCATCGCTTTGGATCCCCTCTTCACGATAATTATATAACTATCTCGACCACTTTCTCGAGTTTTAACTTTAAGAACGCACTCCATCTCCTGTTTCTTCCTCATATTTCCCTTTCTTAGACCAGCGGGGCCTCAACTTGCCTTGGGGTCCGTAACCTAACCCCCTGTACCCAGACGAGTTTGCGTTTGACCAACAATGTCGTCCTGCATCTCTCTCACACTCGTGTTCTACTCGCCCCGGAGACTCTTCGCTCCTCGAGAGGCAGGCTAATTCAAACTGTGATTCCTCCCTGCATCTAGGAGGTTCATGGTCGAGTGATGCTACTAGTCTCTGCGGACCGGAGGTCTCCGACCCTTTTTCCAGTTTTGATTTACAGTCTTCTTCTACCTTACTTTCCCCTTACGGCCAGACTTCAATCGGCACTGATCAGGCGTCTTCACTTGCGAATTTCGAATCTCTTTCTTTCACAGATCCGCTGGTCATGCTAGGCGACCTCGATTGCAACACTCATTTCGGATTGGGGCTCGCCGATCCGGCAGGTCTTCTTCCGCTCCCTGCACATGATTTATACGACGCGTTTCCTTCGAATGGCATGGAAGATAGCACTTCATGTATGTCCACAATCCCCGTTCGAGATCCCCAAAGGCTAATGCCGGGCAGTATCTACGGCCCTGATGACCCCATCCTCCAGCTCCCAACCCTCCCCAACTTCACATCCCCGAACCGCCGCTCCTCCCAGCACCACCTCTCCATCATCCATGCCCAAAAAGCGTTCCAGGAGTCCTCCCGACGACTTCTGCATCGACAAGCGCCGTCGCAACAACCTCGCGGCAGCCAAGTATCGGCAGAAGAAGGTCGACCGGATCTCCGAGCTGGAGTCCGTGGTGGCCGACGTCACTCGCGAGCGGGACGACCTGAAGCTTCAGCTGGCCATGAGCAACAGAGAAATCGAATTGCTCCGAAACCTTCTGTCGAAGAAGGAGTGACATGGATCCCCTGTGTCCTCGGTGTTCAGTTAAGTCAGCGTCTTTCTCTGGGTTTTCTAGCGGCATAGATTGGGGATGCGTGTTAAAGAATCAGACGATGTCGAAGCTTGTATCATTTGAAGTTTGTGATCTATTCGGCAAAATGTTTCGTCATGGGAACGGGATAGGATGTGGAAGGTTATCACGTACCCGTACGAGAGATTAGATCTTGTCACAGTCGGAACATCGTATTGATTTGGCAATCTGCATAACTACTCTCTATCTATGTGACTCTTCGACCCTTTATACCGCCATATTTTCCATCCTGCTTTGAACCACTGCTCCTCTGATTCGCAATACCGAAGCCATACCGTGCTCCGATCATAATGATTCATACCTATTCATCTGAGATTGTTCCCGAGGAGTGCTTAAAGCCATCCGTGACAGACTCGAAGCCGGCCATGTCCGTACTAAAAGGGGTACTGTTGAGCTAGGAAATGAATCATAATGAGTTTCGATGAGTATGTCGGCTAGAGGAGAGCCTGGAAATCAACCATGCTCCTAGACACGGAGGTGTTAGGACCGCTAGTAGCACCACACCCATCTATAGTAGGCCCGGCGGTACTGGAGGTCCATGGCCGGGACTGACTGTGCTAGCTAACATCGATGGTATAGATAACAAGGCAGAGCAATCCGGCTATTATTCCTACGCGCTCAGCCCCACGACAGAGTTCAGTGACAAGCCTCTATGCTGCTTATATGCGAAGTTGTGAAACCGATGGGTTGGCCAGCGCACAGCAGGCTTGGAACACTCACATCATAATATCGCATTATTAACGCGAGTATCGCCTATGGCAATCGAGTATCGCGCGATAGAGAGTTGATTGTGGAGCACGACAGGCCGGGAGCTGGCCCCACTTCCGAAGTGGAGTGTGTGAGGGAAAGCACCCCAACTGTAACGTCTTTCCGATTGCTACCTTGAGATCTCCTTGTATTTCTTGCTCCTAATAATCTAGCACAAAAGAATAGCAAGCCATGGCTACAGAGGCAATCGTCCCTCTGAATGTCCTTACAGAGCTCACCTTTCTGGAGCCGGACATCATCTTTCAGTCAGAAAAGCCGTATCGGCTTCGTTATGATCCCGGAGACGAGATTCCACGAACCAATTGCAAATCTCAAGTCCAGAGCAACATCTTGATCCACGATATTCGTGGTAGAGAGAGCTCGTTCAGCTTGGACAACAATGGCTTTGAAATCTTGACACTAGATTCTAAGTTGGGGCCGGAAGATTTCTATGATCGCGAAAAGGTGCAGGCTGTGTATTACAAAGAGCTCCAGCAGCTTTTGAGGGACAGGTTCGGTCCCAAACGGGTCGAGATACTGGAGCATGGTGTATGAAATCGTATTGTCTGCGAAAGCGTCTTGTCTCATGATTTATGCAGATCAGGAGGAGACACGCGGAGTTCCCGATATCGATTGGAGGAGACTACGACCATCTCCAGCCTACGTCAATAATTCATATTGGTCTTTCGCCATGGCTCAACGGGGAACAGAATCCATTGCTGACATGCTTAACTGTAGACTTCACACCACAGGCTGCGAAGGAGACGAGCAAGCGAGTCCTGCAAGTCGATCCGGACCAGTACAAGCGAATGCAATGTCTGAAGCAAGTGCTCATCCATTACCATCGGTAGCTTGAGGTTGACATCGTCCAGTATTTGGAAGCCATTGCGGGGCCCTTTGACCGATTGGCCACTCTCGGTATGCGATGCTCGATCCGTGAGCATCGAGCAGGATTGCGAAGCAACCGATGTGGTCGAAAGGACCGGCTTTACGGAGAACTACCAGGTCTACTTCAACCCTGCGCAGCATTTCTGCTATCTGAACAGGCAACTCGCATCCGAACTGGTCGTCTTCCGTCAGTCCGACACAAAACCAGGTTGTACCACTGGTAGGTGCATGTTGTCTCGCGGGTGACGGATGGAGAAGTGCTAACGAGCGAGAGCAGGATCTCCTCATGCCGGTTTTCGCAATCCAAACACAATGCCAGGAGAGCATCCCAGAGAAAGCATTGAGACTCGCGCGTTTCTGTATTATTGAAGAACGTATCTCAGATTAATTTGATCTAGTATGGGTTGAGTACGTGTAAACTATGGTCAAATTGAGTCGTAAACTGCAATCCAAATAACCAACACAACGGAATGGCATGCTTGCTGTGCATCAAATCTCTCATCTCATACAAATTATCCAGCCGATACCACTACTTTCCATCCGCATTGTTCGGAGTAGTATGCGTACTGGTGGCCGTGCCTTCGAGTCGAATTGTTTCGCCTTTGGGGAATCCGTGCTTCTCGCCGCTCGTAACGGGTGTCTTCGGAGGCCAATGGGCCTTCCATGGTTGAGTCCGGTTATCTGTTGCCAGAACAGAGTCTTCCTTTGTGTTTGATGGCATGTTGGTCTACATACGTAAGCCCCAGGTTACGAGTAGAGGACGCAGCGTAGTCAAATACTCACCGCTTGATAGATTGGGCTTTGGAGACAGTAATGTGAAGTTCCAGATACCTGGTTCCGTTGGAGACAATCACGAAAACCAATTACTACTTGGTAGGATAGCTTTTAGATGTTAAATTGCTAATAGCGGAGAGATTGGAAGAGGAACACCAAAGTTTCAGACCAGTCACGAGGATACCGGACGTTGCAATCTGGCCTTCCCCCGCACCAGTGTTACCTGTAGGCCGACTATCGTAAATTCGTAATCCACCACCGAGTTAGCCATTTCAACTATACAACAGCCCGATTTGATCGAACTTAGTCTTGTTCGATAGCCAGTTTAGCTAAATTGATATTAGCTTCGTTTGAAGGCAATTGAACTTGTTGTTTTCGAGGCATCACGAAAAAACGGTGATGGATCGTTATTCTGGTGGTGAAGTGGCTAACTCAGTGGTTCGGCTAGCTCGGTGGACGGTACGGATACCATAGTGGATTACGTTAGGCACGGGGCGTTCCATATTAGGGGCCCAGTTTATCCTTTCTTGGGTTCCAATTATATGGAGCCTTGGAAGCACCCACAATCCTGGTTCTATCTCGACTCTCGAGGAGGATACGCCAAGATAACTACAGAAAACCACTAACTAACTAACCAGTTAACTATTGACTCATTGCACCTAAAAATGGTTAGACATATGCATGCTGTGACAGCAAAGATGTGGGACCGAGCGGAACAGAAACGTTTTCGTGATCTCATCGAGCTATCTCGACCAAAAGACAATTAGTCGGTCAAAATCGACCCCTTCTAGCTCTTCAAATGGTCTCTTATCTTCTGGCATGATGTCCTGAAATTTCTGTCGCGCCTCGCGATAGAGCTTCAAGGCCTCTTTTTCCTCATTTTCTGCTCCCTTGACCTGACCTAGCTTTCGAAGAACTTTGCTCTTCCAGTACCTCGCGCGAGCCGCTTCGGCTGTGAACGCCGCGCTGGACAGATAGATCTGGATGGCTTTTTCAACAAGCGCTCTATTATTCCGAAGTTAGCCTTGTCATAGGCAGAGAATCGGGGAACTCACAAAGCATGTTCTCCATCTTTCAGTCGCAAGAAATTGTCCGCGATTCGAATGTATGTGTCTGCAGTCCGATGGTGTCTACTTCCAAGAGTCTCTCGATAGTGGTCGAGCGCCCGCCCGTGATATTGCAAACTCTCATCGAACATCTCTAGAGACGCATACGCGTTCCCCAGGGCATATAAAAATCGCCCGGTACTGGATTTGCAGTCAGAATCATCTCCCACACTAAGCATTTTCTTCTTACATGAACGATTCGCGATCATTATATCCAAACTTCCTTTCCCTCACGCTCAGACCTTCCAGGAGTACGTCGAGTGCTTCTGAATTGCGGCCGATTAACCAATAGACAAAGCCTAGGTTCACCAGCGGAAGTGATATCTGCCATTTCTCGAAGTTGTCCAACTTCTCCATGCTGGATATTGACTTTTGAAAGCATTCCTCGCCTTTCTCGAAGTTATCTCGAAGCATGTAGGCACACCCAAGTTCGTTGAAAGAGAGCGCCAGTCGCATATCTTGCCCTGCAGGCCTATCGCCGAGCTCTTGGAGCATCATCTCATTGAACCTCGTCAGATGTTCCAGAGATTCCCTTCGCCAGTTGACTTCCACCGCCACGACACCTCTGTTGTGGAGAATTTCTGCCAGTGCATCCGCAACCTGTTGCTCAGATGGATTCTTATCGGCATTCACTAAGTCGAGGGGATAAAATTGCTTCAGCTCCTCGCATATCTTTTGTGCAATGCTGCCGAACATATCCGACTCAGTGGTTTTTCCTCGCTCGTGGCAGTACCTGTCCTGTTAGGCCGGATTGATCTAAATCTGCACGGTGACTTACCACCCGCAGTCGCATACTAGTCGCGCATACGCAAATGCTCCATGGAGATCGTCCATTCTCGTATTGTGTTTGGACGCAAATCCTCGAAGGGTCATAACATGAGGCAGTAACTGGGATTTCGTTAGTATATCGCGGAGCAATTCCGTCTGCGGTCCGTAGATCAGGACAATACCTCCTCGCATTGATCCCACCTGGAAGTCCCGTGTCTCCATGTGAATTCGCGGAAGGGCCTATGGATATGTGAGCTAGTGTTGTCACCATTACACTGTAATTTACTGACCATTTTGATGATATTAGCGTAACACACGCGTTGAATACAGCTCGATAGTAGTCAGGTTCCATCTGTTTCCTTGCTGCATCCTGGACAATCCTATGCATTAATAACGATTCAGGTATCTTATTCTTTACCACTAGAGAGTATTTGAACAATTGCTGAACAGAACTACGGAGGGCCTGCTCTGTTGAGGGATATCCTGGCAGACGGAAGCCGGTTGACGGGGCTTTTAGTATGTCCAGCGGAATATGATCCGGATCCAACATCGAAAGGACGTCAAGGAGAGGTCGAGAGTGGCTGATGCTATCAAAAGCGGATTCCAGGAACGAGTGTTCTTCATTGTCAATGAACCTGACCACTGGATTAATGTTCCGGCGACGTTTCGCACTTCGGCCGTGATCCTGAATCAGAAATTCTGCAAAGGATATGTTTTGCTCGACAATCCCGCCCGTCAAGTATTTCAAAGCTAGTGGATATCCTTTTACTTTGTCAGATATGAGTCTTGCGCACTGACGTTCTTCCTCTGACATATCCCTTTGAGCTAATATGCCGATGAAGTCCACTGCCTCTTCAGGAGTGAAAGGTTGCAGCGTGCCAGAAGGATATGTCGCGGCGTTCCATAACGTGTTTCTTCGACTAGTAATGAGGATGGACCCCGTTTCTCCCTTGGCTGGCCAGAATTCATCCAAGATCTTTGGGTCAATTACATGGTCAAGAATCAGCAACCAGGACGCTCGACTTTGGGCCGAAGTGGAGGCAAAAGTCCGTACAGGATTCTCTAACCAAGTTTTGAACAAATCTCTGGTTAAAATCTGGTCATCTGAGTCAGCAGAGGCTTCGTCCACTAAGCCAAGCTGCTTCGTTATCTTGTTGACGTCTTCGATGATTTTCGACCGCTCATCTGCGTGTATCCAGAACACTGCGTCGAAACAATGCATATGAAGGTGCACAAATTCGATAACAACTTGCGTCTTGCCAATTCCAGCAGGGCCAAGGATAGAAAAGCTTTTGATATTGTTCGTTCCCTTTCCGACCTCATCATTAGCAGGCTCTTGGGGAAGAAGAGCATCTCGCAGGTCATCAAGAGTGGCTTTTCTGCCAAAGAAATCCGTATTTCTCGACAACGGCATATAGACGCACGGTAAGACAGTTTTCTTTGCAGCTCCTCCCGCTCCAAATACCATCTCGATGTTGCGTCTCCGGATAAATGGCTTGAGAACAGGATCAGTGGCATGGTCGTTGTATTCCGTAGAGAGGGCAAATTGCCATTCTTCAAGTGAGTTAGACTCATCTGGGGCGATGTCTGGATCGAAGAAAGAAATATCTCCGGCGTCAAGGAATTCTTTTTTCCGCCTGGCTACTTGTTTGTAGTCTTCATTTGAGCCACTACTGAGCGTACTTTCTGTATTCGAGGATGAGGCCTTGTCGCTCGGAATTTGGTCATTGAATTCGTCCAACCAAGGGAGTGAGTATGAGGCAACGTCTTGCAAATGCCATGCAATATGTTTTTGCATTGCCAGTCCAACAGCGGTAGTGGTGGATGCGGCTCCCGCAGAACCTCGACGGGCAAAAGAGAATTTGGGAATCCCGGGTAATGCTTCCCCTGAGATGGCGCAGAACGGGCACGATTTAAAGGGATTTGGGTCGGCAATTGCAGCCTGTCTCGCCAGAGTCGGTATTTGTGTTTCTTTAAACTGCCCTTCCTTCATATGCGTTTCCCTAACATGGGCGGCATATGCACTCTCCGAGGTCAAGACTACGGTCTTCGGTCCCTGAGAGTGACCTGGGAGGCGGCAGGACCATCGTGTCGCGTGTATCTGCATATGTTTCATCCAAGTTGTTTGTTCCCGAAATGTCTTGGTAGATTCTGCACAGTTCTCGAACAAGCAGATGTACGGTTCTAGGTCTTTGATGAGGTGTTGCCTACGACCAATTCAGCACAATTCCTCCTAACACGCCTTCGAAGACGAAGATCCCGGTCGCGAGAGGATGACAAAACTCACTTCCAATGCCCCTTTGCCAACATCCTTGTGGAGGTTAGCTGACAGCAATATGGACACTCGAATTCGGCGCGGGACTCAGGAATGTATGGAGGCGGTGGAAACCGCGATCGACCAAAGACACTTCCCACAGATGTGCCGCCTATTGAGGTTGAAGCCTTGGAGGATGTGTCGGGCTGAAATTTGGACTCGACAAAACTTGACGCCTTTGCCACTGACTCCTCCATGGCACTTCCTGGCTTGTCTTCAATCATGGGGGGTTCCTCAGAGATTATAGACGTCTGCTGGAGCGGTGCTGCTGTCGAATGCGTCAATTGAACTTCTTGGAGCGGCAGAGACGACTTGCTCTTTGCAGAGCTTCGGCGTCTGCTACCTAAGACTTTCTGATGCTTCATTCTGTATAGAAAGAGTCGCCTCCGTGAAGCGTTGACCTTAGCCAGTCGTTTCTGTAGAGACTCATCAGCATTTCTCCACTTGCTTTGGATCACTGCAAAGCAGAATTGCTCGAATGCTTCAATCTCATCATTTCCTTCTTCATTTCTCGGTCGGAAGTTAACAGCTTTTGAGGTCTGGCTAACTATGCTTCGTTGCCGGATTGCCCTCGCAAGCCTGTTGAGACGACTAATTGCATTTCTAGAACGGTGGAAATCTTCATGTTGGTCTGCCAGGTCATCTTCTTCCGATGAAGTCGGTTCAGAATCTGGTAGAGATCTAGCCTCGGGCGGAACTTCGGTATGAGATTCCTTATAGGCCTTGTATGACGTATCGCAATCCCGATAATTGTTTCCTTCTACCTTAGTTAACGACGTAACCTTCTATTGATCGCATAGGCACGTAACTTACCTTTCATCAAGTTCTCTGGCAGTCGAACCAGGGAGCTGTGAAGAGCCAAAAGTTGGGATTTCACCAGTGACTGCACTTTCTCGCTCTCCCGAAGTCGATAGTCAAGAGAAGCATGGTGTTCTGCCTGGGCTCCAATGTGTGCCGCCCAAACTCCAAACCTAGCTCGTTCTTCTTCAAGTTTTTCCACCAAGTCATGGAACTTCACAGGCCAGGTTGCGACGAAATTTCGATCCAGTAAATTATCAAACGCATCATCGCATGATTCCGCGATATCTCGAATACTGCGGTCGCTCATAGTTCCGTTGCGCTTCAGGTGGGATGTGTATTGATGGAAGAAGGTTCCAACATGAATACTATTTGAGAAGACGACGATCTGGCAAGCCTTATCGGTTACTTGGTCTTTCCATGCTCAAACCGGCTGAAAATCACACACAGTCCGAATCCACCTGAAGCAAGGCCACCAATCGCGAGACAAGACTGAACGAGCAAGGCGACAGCAACTTGACCGGTCAGGCTGGGCAAGGCTGTGCCAACAGCTCAATTATAGTCTATTATCCTCAAATTGAGTTTGGAATGCTTCCCTAATGCTCTTTCTTCTACTCGATCTTGGAGCCAAGTCGGGAGGCTAAAACTATACTATCGAGTACCCGCTGCTTTGTCTGCGCATTATTCTGATTTTCTAAGAGTCAACGGTATCGATCTAGGTAGGCCAATACCGGATCGACTGGCACAAGCTTGCCAGAACTAGGCCTTGTCCAAAACCATAGCGAGATTGCAATGTCTGGAGTGGAAGTAGCTAGTCTGGCACTGGCAGTGTTACCAGTGTTCATCTACGCTGCGGAGCACTTGAAAGGATACGGCATAAAACAAGAAGAGTTCTTGATGGACTTGAAGTTTGAAGTTGCCTTCTTGAACATGAACTTACAGACTGTCGTTAAAAGCCTGGCTGGAATTCCCGATGAACGACGCCAGAGACTATTGTCGATACAAAATGCACAAGATATGGAAAATATATGGAGATCGGAGGACATTGTTCAAGCATTAAAGATCCGACTGGACCCAGGCTTTGACTTGTTTCTCGACACCCTAAAGTCGATTCTTGAACATCTAGAAAAGCTTCTTGCTAACCTTTCAACTATGACCCATCCGAAAGATTCGGTAAGATCCCTAGTCTATGATTTGATCATCATACTGACAGTACAGCAGAAGGGACCCGAGGACTTGCGTTATACCTGTGCCAACCTTTACAAGCTTTGCGCTATCCCTCAGTCTGATTTGACCCGTTTCGACAAGATATTCGCGATACACAAGCATAGGAGAAATAACCGTATTCTCGATACCATTCAGAAATACAATGAGAAATTGGAGAGAATCATTCTGCGCTCATCTAGCAGTTGGTTTGAGCCAACATCTTCATCAGAACTTGGAAGACGGCGGAGTCGTCATCTCATCGAACTGCGACCTTTGCTGCGTACACTATATACCACTTTGGGAGGCCTGTGGCCCTGCGACTGTCCGCAACGGCATGAAGCCCGACTTTGTCTGCTTAAGTGTCGCGATTCCGAGGACACGGAACACGAATATGTTTATTTCGATTTCTTGATGTCGCTGCGTACTGAGGAAGCCAGCCAGTACTGTAAATGGGTGGAAGGAAAACTTCGTATTGAACTAGAGCAGTAAGCTTCTTCATTAATACCGAGAGACTCTCCTTGGTAACTAACCGTCGGCATCGTAGCACACTTCAAGAAGACTCTACACGCACTGTTCGTTTCCATCTTGACGACCAAGCTTCCATGCACAGCTCCACAGTGACAGAGTCACCAACATCACCTTCATCTTCTACCCCGCTCATTCATAGTGGGCGGAGGCGATCAATACGGTTTGCACAGACGAAAATCGAGCAACTGTGCGAGATTCTGGCTCTTAGCTATCGCCATACAAACTCTCCTGAAATCCTCTTCGATGGCTCTTCTCTCTGGCATGTCACCAGTAGGCGACCAGTACGGAGACAGAGTTTGAAGCAGAGGCTAGGTATGGATCAGCCGCTCATCGACACATCACTTGCCATCCTTCTCAGTGGGGAGCGAAAGTTTAGTCTAAGGGACAAGAAAATCCTGTCGGTAACTCTTGCACACTCGTTGCTCCAATTCTGTGAAGGCCCTTGGCTCAGCAAAGAGTGGAGCAAAGAGCACATATCATTCCTTCACCAGGGGAAAGACGACCTCCTTGATCCGGATCTTCGGAGGCCGTACGTCTCTACACTTTTCCTTGAGAATGAGATAGAAGAAACTCCAGACGAGCTGTATCGAACTCACCCAAATCCTAGCGTCCTTGCATTGGGTATCCTGCTTTTGGAGATCGAGTTTGACTCGACCATCGAAAGCAAGCGGCAAGCGGAGGACTATGGCGACGACGGGCGGCCCACTATCAATACAGACCTCTTTGCCGCATCCCGGTTGCTCAACGACGTCGAAGAGGACGTCTATATCAACCACAAGAATGCCGTTTCTGCTTGCCTTTATTGTAACTTTTATGATGGAGACGACTTTAGTCTGGACAATCCGGACTTTCGACAGGCTGTGTACGATAATATTGTAGCGCCCCTTGAAGATGAGCTGTATCACGCATATAAGCTAACATCTGATGATATTGGTTTAAATTGAGGCAAATGAAATCACATTGTTTCGTCTCGGCATGCATATACACTACACTGTTATCCGCACACTCGTAATTACACCAGTACGTTCGGGACGGAGTATGGAGTAGCGTTAAGTACTACTGAAATTGTCTCCAAAAGGGAGTAAAATTTATCCATAGCTTTCAATTTCTGAAACTGATGACCTCCAACTCCTGATAACTTACTTCGTTCTTGAAGCTAGAGTGATTAACCTTTAGTTATACCTGTTCAGCACAGTATATGGACAGCATACTTTGAAATAACTGATATCAGTGACAGGGAATACGCTGGTTTCTTTCCAGTCGAATATGAGCTTCAACTTTGGCGGCGTCCTTGGGATAAGCAAGAGAATTGGGACGAGCAGACCAATAGAGGAGCTAGATGTGAATGATGGGCAGAAGACTGCTACCGTGATATTAAGTGGGAATGACGATATTATTGACGCCCAAACTGTGCGACGGTACCTCACGACATCCTCATTGATCACATCCTCTGCACACGATAAGGCGATTAGGAAGGCAGGTAGAATAGAAGACGTGGAGATCAACTTTGTCAACGAAGCGGCAGGAACAAGCGCAGCCACGTTTGTGAGCGGATCCAGACACCATGTTATCTGGTTCGAACGCTTCCACCACACTCAAGCTTTTGAGTTTGAGAAAGCGAGGAAAGCTATGATCAAAGTTATTAGAGCTAGTTATAGCATCCAAGGCCACGTATTCGCCTCCATAGAAGGAATTGGTCGGGGACACGTCAGGTTTTCGCTAATCAGTATCAGCCACACGGACTTGCTCGGTTATCTGCTCTGGGGGCTGAGTTCCGTCTTCATCTTTGCCACTTGTGAGCAAGGCGTATGGATGCCAAACATACCTGAAGAAATGCAGATGCCTTCCGAAAGAATGATCATCCGCATATGGTACCTCATCGACCCTCGTTGTCTTCGTCCTTGCGCTTCTTCATCTCCTTGCGGGTTAACTCGACTTCTACTCTTCGTTTCTTGGGCGACACTCGGTCTTGGAGAGAATCGTCCTCTCGGTCAAAATACAGGGCCCAGTTCCCAGCGCTTTCTCTCACGGCCAAGAACCCCTCCCAGCCTTCCAATGTCACTCTTCGGTCCAGCTTCGTGCAATCCCACGGTCCGATTATGTGCTCCTGGGACTGGACCCGATCGCCATATTTGACTTCGTAGGTATCCTCATCGACATAGATCCAATTCAACTGCGGTGGATCATCCATGATTGTTGAGACCAGTCCCTCGCCTTGGCGGCCCCAGTTATGATCGGGATACGGGAGGTAGTAGCCGGCGAACGGATGTGCTTCGTCTTCGACGTTGGGCGTGGCAAGGTACAGCTAGGATGAGCTGTTAGGTTGTGGTGAGTTCATCGCCTCTTCTTCTGCTCACCTTGTTGTTCTCTAGCACCACTGCAGCCCCGTTGACCACGCTGGCATAGCGAGAAGTAGCATCGCAATTTGCTACGAGGTTCGACTTGAGCCCTCGATGCTTTTCTCTCGCATTCTGCTTCTGCCCTTGCATGACCGCTTCGTTGGTCCCAACGATTGCGGGACATGCTGCTATGGAGGTAATGATTCCAAAGACCATGATTATGGGTGATTATGGCTACGAGAAAATGAAAGTCTAGCAAAGCTCCTGTCGCATATGCGGACTGGGGAACTCTAGGGTCCACCGATTAAGTCCACCGATTAAGTCCACCGATTACCGCTCATGCGCGATGCAGCCATGACAGATGCACCCATGACGTACTGAAGGCAGCGCATGGAGAAATCAGCAGAAGAGGAGTCACTGCTTGACGGTGGATCAAAACTTTAAAACATCGGACTCCGCGCCAGTAACTAATAACCTGTTTTCTTCTCTCCAAGGCGTGTCAAGTGTGTGGAATCGGGGTCAACTCCAGGGTCAATAATGAACCAAAACCCCAGGGCCTAGACCCCGACCTCGAAATAAACTTGATTCTCGGCGCCGCTTGCATGGATAACCCCTAACTAGTTAGTTAGTGGTTCCCGTTTCGGTTAAGTATGCCTCTACCTTCCAGCAACGTCATCGTGAGACTAGCCTTGGTTTTTATGTTGGTCGCATATCTATAGGTATAAGGTAACCGAATGACGCATATTCTTCTACTGAGAAACCAAACCTACTGCTTGACTTCTCGAGTTTCACTGACCATTACACCAATCACAAACCGCGGCTATTAACCGCAAAAGATCCGATTCCGCCGTCTCCATGTCTCAAGAGTATGTCACAATTTAGCTCGCGATACGCATTGACTAACAGATACATTCTCCAGAGACGCCAAAAAGGACCCCACCGAGGTGATGGAGCGGACAGAATCAGAGGAAAGTCCTGTTCCCAGCTCGAAGGAGCGCACGAAGCAGCGCACGAAAGAGAGCACGAAAACCAGTCGGGCGCTCCAACGGCAGAAGCAAGCCTACGACGACGACGAAGACTCGGAATTGGAGGAGTTCTTGGCGCCGCCGCCGCGAAAGAACCGACGGATGATTCCGGTTCACCAGTCTCGAATTTCCGACCGGCCCATTAAGAAAGGCGCCGAAGATAGTAGTTTGAAGATTAAGATCGAGCTGGACTTGGAAGTTGAGGTAAGTAGTGTTCTACTGCCTGGCATTTCGTCCCCTCAAATCTTATGAAATACAGGTAGAGATTTACGCTCGCGTCAAAGGAGATGTGACCATCGGGCTGATGTAATGGCAGCTCGAGCTCTATGCTAGGGTGAAGGGGGACGTCACCATCGGTTTACTGTAAGAGGTTAGTTGGTCATTTCGCTTTTGAACAGAGGAATAATATTCATTTTCAGGACCGAATGATTTGTGTTATTCGCTATCCCGGGGGTCACTCATTAGGCGGTTGTCATTTTGAAAGAGGGCATGGAGTATTGTAGAGAGATAGGGTTTCCAATTCAAGCAATTGTGTGAAGGATGTATCTAGCCACACGACTCAAAGCGAGTTCTGTGTTTGTTGCGAATAGCTTTATATTGTCTTAATTGTCGTAATTGAAAGTCTCGTTGCTACTTTCCCTATCTAGTGCACTAATCTTCCTCCATCTCAGCCATCTCAAGCTCCAATTGCTGCTTCTTCAGCGCTCTCAGCTTCTTCTGCTTCTTGGCTTGAGCTTCCGCTTCGCTTCCCCCCTCCGATTTCTGAACCTGTTGCTTGCCTCCACCGGAACCGACAACCGGTAATCCGTCAGTTGTCTCTCCCACGGTCTTGAGAACTGGCGACGTCACTCCGCCTACGACAGGGAGATCCTTGGTCGTATTATCTACGGTATCCAAAACGCTAAACATACGAAGTCAGTCGAAGTCAGTCGTAGAGGAGATGGAGATTTACCCTCCGAGAAGGCCACCGTTGCCGCCTTTCTTCCCGCCACCGCCACCTCCGAGTAGTCCTGCCATGTTGATTCGTGCGTTTGCTAGTGGGGATGGTAGATGATTGTAGAGGCGATCTTTTGAGCTTTTGAGGATTCGATGGGAATGGATTGTTTCTTTTCCTTCCAAATAGATCCAGTGCAGTCCGGATTAGCTCGACACTTTTATATCCGAACGGCCGCCTCTGTGGGTTCGAGACTAGATACTTGTATGAGCGCATAAGGGGGCGCGGAATAAGGCCTGGCCTGCCACTAGGATATTCGGCTTTTCTCAATGACGTAGAAATCTTGGGATTTTCTCGATGACGTAGAAATCGAGATTGAGGAATCAGGGTCCAGGGATAGTAACTTACCCTTGCAACCATATGTCCGAGTCTCGAGTTCCGATCACAGGAGATCTGCATGGCCAGGCGCCAAGCCCAAATTATCACCTGTGACCAGACTGGCCAGATTGATCAGGAATCGATTATTGCAATCATATCGATCATAGGTGGTCACAGATAGACGGCTACGGGAAGGCGGGGGAACCTGAGGTATATAAACAGGCAAGGTCGTCACTCCTTAGGCCTTGCGTTCAATTTTCCATACCCCGATACTATATCACAACACCAGCATCTTCGCTTCACTGCTTCCCCCTCTCTGTCCTGTAAAAAGGAGTACGGCGTCAATACGGAGATGTGGTTTTCAATCCCAGAATCTTAGGCCCCTGGGACAGCCCTACAGCAGACCCTGGTAGGAAATATTTTACCCGGACCAATCAGTGCTGGGCGATTGAATAGAGTAATTACCATAATCTTCCAAAAGTCAGTTGGCCAGAGAATGGAAACCAAACTTCTGTATTCTGTAAGTCACATATACAGTAGCTGACATCACCAGTTCTTGCCTTCGGTTCGCTGGACAACTGGCTCGGTTCTAGCCATTGTTCTGCAAACTTGGTGAACAATGTCAAACCTCGTCCAAGGAAACCAGGGACATCCCAGAGTCTCTTCACGCATTAGACCCAGAATGTGAGCCATCACCTTCGGGTTCTCTTACGGTACGTATGGTACAATACCAGCTGTGGATATAGCGCTGGTGGTTGGACGGATCGAAAATGTTTCACACCACAAACCAGGCCGAATCACACTTCCCCAGGTTAGAATCTGTCAGCTCGCTTCAGGATAAAGCAGTAGGGGAGGGATTCCTACTATCAGTTCCAATGGCAATATCAAGCCAATCATATGCTGCAACGGCTGCGGCACTGCCTGAGTGCCTGAGCTGCTTCCACCAGGTGACCGATACCCATCTGCTCGTGGATTCCACGGTGCTTGGAGATCAACGTACTCGATGGTCTTGTGTAAAAGCTACCGAGTTCAATATGAGCCTAAACCTTCCCTAGTGCATGAATCGAACTGAATTGGGTTGATCATTGGTTCTGAGCATAAAGGCGAGCTGGGTTCGCGGTGGGCCGCCTTGTTCGGGAGAAGGAGCCCAGGCGTGAGCTCCTGTTGTCGATCAGAACTCAGAGGTTAATAGGTTCTTGGTGCACGATGAGCTGCTCATGGATGAATAATATGAATCAGTGCTTCATTGCTGACGCCTCGAAGCGTCTTTCCAGCGCCATGCGAAAATTGCCGCTCAAACCCGCTGAAATGCACTCCACGATGCCACTAACTTAAATGCAGCTCATGCTCAATCATCCGTCCCGGACTTCAACAACGCTAGCATTGTCTCGTCCTCCGTCTCCGCCGCCCGATCGGCCGGAGTCCTACCCATGTTATCTTTCAATGTGGGATCCGCCCCACAGCTCAGGAGAAATCGGACCATGCCGACCGAACCGGCACCAGAAACCCAGTGCAAGGCAGTGCATCCTTCCTCGTTCTGTGCGTTCACGTCCGCCTTTAGCCCGTTATTCCCTTGAAGAAGCATTTCGATGACGGCCGCATGTGAGGGCAGTTCCGCATCCTCGTCGACGGAGTCGGCCTTGTCCTCTCTGCGAGGCGGGGAGCGTGCCCGGACTGGCAACGCGACTGTATCCTGCTTGGGGTCCACGCTCTCGTCTTCGAGTCTGGGGCCATCTTTCCCGCCATATTCATGCAGCGTTTCCCCACGGAACGGATCCTGATTGTGGAAATGGGGCATGCCTGGGGACGATTCATGGCCGTCGACGACTGTGGCATCGTCCAGTTCTTTATCCTTGAGCTCGTCGTAATGTATGTTCTCGATCTCCGCATGACCTCCCCATGACGCCCAGTGAAGGGCACTGCTACCACTCGCGTCCACTCCACTGGGATCGGCGCCAACATCTAGCAGATTCTCCGCAAGCTCCACATGGCCGCCTTCCGCTGCCCCCGCGAGCGTCTCCGCCAGTCGCCGAAGGTGCTTCTGCTCTGCCTCGGGGTCGTTTGCCGCCCTGTCCGCGTCTCGTGCCTCAGCCAGCATGGCCAGCACGCCATCCGAATTGCCGAGTTTCGCAGCGTGGCGCAACGTGTACGTCTCGACGAGGCTTTCGGCCGTGCCGCTGTTCCTCAGGAGGATCCGAGAGATGGTATCGTGGCCCTGTGACATGGCGTAGATCGCGACATCCCACCCATCATAGTCTCTCGCGGATGCATTGGCGCCTTTCTTGAGCATGCGCAGGAAGAGCTTTTCATTCCCGGTCCATGCCGCTGCATGGAGGGCGGTGGTACCGGCAGCGTCCCGCCCTTCGATGTTCGCGCCGTTAGAAAGCAGGAAAAGCACAGCATCCAGATGTCCGAAATAGACGGCGAAATGAATCGGAGGCGCTCCTATCCAATCCCATCCTACGCCCGTTAGTTCATCAAGCTAATCGTAATATACAGGATTTACGAACCGGTTCTGTCGTGCCGAAACAGCTCATTCCCCGGAGACGGTTTCCAGTGCTCGTCTAAGTCAACGTCGTCATCCTCAGAGACAAGATCATCAAGGGTCGCGGTATCACCCGACGCAGCTGCACGATGTGTAGGCGGGAGCGCTTGGAGAAAAGCATCGAACTCAGGGTCAGTTGACGCCCACCGCGCGTCAATGGAGATTCGCCTAATAACCGGCCGCTGATAATGGACTCGCCGGAATGGGTGCATGTATTCATCCGGAGGAAGAGTTGAACTCCGCCGTATAGAATTCTTCTTTGGATCCGAAGATTCGGGGTTCGATGACTTCCGATCGCGAGGGATACTACCCGCCGAACGAACCTTTGGTGGTGGCTTGGGTCGCTGGCGCAGATCTTTCCAGAAGTATCGCACACGGTCTTGGTTTTCGACTTTGTACCGCAGAGAGCAATGTTTGCATTTCCGTTCGTCGGGATGCACTCCGGTCATCGTGTTCATAGACATGCACCGTGGGCATTGCTTCTCGTTATTCGACGGGGGGTGCTTCATGAGGAAGCTTAGTCCGATTCTCTTCCCGGGTTGGAACGTTTCGCTCCATCGGTCCAAGGGGACTAGCTCTCCGCCCCGGTCTTCATCCGACACGACGTATTTCCCACTCTCGACCTTCTCGTAACCCGGGCCGCCTTTATGCATGAGCAACAGAACATCTCTGAATACTTCAGGCGTCGCTGTCAGCATTAGAGGAAGGAAGTTCTGTCGTCCGAGGGCATCGTCCAAGATGATTGCCTCGGGTCCAAACCCAAACGCCATGTCTTGCGGTCCTCGCTCCCAAATCATCTCTAACTTGAACAAAGCCTCTTGCATTTGAAATTTGACATCATTGATCCCAACCTCGACTGTATCGAAGCCATTCGTTAGAAGTTTGCGGTTGTCGTCCATTGAACTGGTCATGGCCGTCAGATAGAACCGCCCAAGCAGTAATTGTAGCGCCTCGAGTTGTAAATTCAACGCCTTCTCAAAAAAAGCAATGTCCTCTTTTCGCGACAACCAAGTCAAGGATTTATATGCCGTCTTCGCCTTCCCAAATCCGTTCGTCCCCACCTCTTTCTGCTCAAACGCAGCCGTGTATGACTTGGTCTTATCCATGAAACCCTTTATACACTCCTCTATCTGGAGCCGCTGCGTAGTGACCTCCTGGGCGATCTCCTGCAACCTCTCAATATGCCGAACGTCCTTGTGCTCGCTGATGTGGAAATCCATGGTGACCGCTTCGGCCTGTAGCGCGGCATGGCTGAGGGCCTTGAGCGTCGCACTGAGCGTGGTGAATTCGCTTTTCGAGCCGCGAGCGGAATTGAGCGCTTGTATACATTGGCCGGCGAGCTTCGCGCATGCGATGAAGTCGCCAATTTGGGGTAACATGGCTATAAAGCCGTCCTCCGGTTCTCGGGAGGCATAAGACTAGGACGTGATCGTGGGGCTCGGGCGCATAAACACAACAACGCTGTTCCGGTCGCCTGTGAATTCAGGGCACCGAGAGCCGAGGATGGATGAGTAGAGGTCATAAAATATACTACATCTCAGGATATGTTCATGATCAGACCAAAAAGTCGTCGCAGTTCTCTAGGTATCGCACCCGTCGAACCCTGGACGGTCTAGACGTGCTGATCGCGAGTCGGACGGGTCTGGCCTTTAGAGACCGATGGGCCTCGCCATATTGGGGCTCTAGCGGCACACTAAAGGGGTTCGTGACACCCTGGCCATTGAATCCCGAGCGCATCCTGACAGAGAAGCGAAGGGTAAGCGATGCTTGTCCTTGAGATGGGAAACCGAAGATTTTCACGGTGCGAGGAAACAGAAATGGATGCGTCTCAAACATCGGCATTGGGCGGTCCATGACCTTGATATGTAAGTCGTGGTCCACAGCTCCACAGCCCACATAATTCTGTCGCCGCGTCTGATTGGTCCGACTTGGTCTGCGATGCACCAACTTGGCAAAGATATAGCGGATCAAGTTAGGGGTTACGATCTGTCATCTTTAGCGTACGATTAAATCTTAGTGACACGGTCTAATGAATGATCGATAATCGATGAGGAATGTATGTCGATAACATCAATGACGAGGACCCTCAGAGCATGGAATATTGAGGGTAGAGTTAAAAGGACCGGATAGACCAATAGAAGCGTGAAGCACGTCTAAATCTGTCGTCTTGCTCCTCTTACCAACCACTGGTTGCAGTTCAAATATACCTTTCACAATGTTCTCTAAATGGACAGCGCACTGCATGATCGCCATCTCCTTACTTATGCTCTATTCTCTGTCCTATCAGGTTCAGACCTATCGCAAAGACGGAAGAGTCAATCTGCTCCCCGGGATACCCTTCGGAAAATGGAATACGGCGAATGACGGCGCTGGCAATCCGAAATCGAATCCGATTGCTATTGCGCACAGCCAATCGAAAGGGTTGTCAATCGACGAGGCAGGCAGTTAGCCTGAAGGAGAGAGCCTTGCTACATCCACATCTTGCTAGGAGATGAAGCAATCAACCAGCAGGTTGAAGAAACAGTTCGAGACGGGTCGTTAGAGACTCTTGGTATGTACCATTGCGACAAGCATAAGAAAGAGAGACTATTCATTACCAGATGGCCCTAATGATAGACATTGAATCTGAGAGTTTGGTACTCGACGCGCTGGTTCAATGATTCGAAGGGTATCGGGTCCGTATTGGCGCTATTTTGGAAGATTAACTAATTACTGCAAAAACTCGAGCTCCAATCCAAGACAAGATTACGTCTGTATTCCATAGGAATAATTCATAATAGTTATTGCCAAAAACCAATAAAAACCAATAAAAATCAAACCTGATGGAAGGTGAGACTTGGGAGCATCCAATTCGAAGAACAATTGAGCAGTGAGGTGGCATGTGAACTGTGGCGTAAAACTTGGTATTCAGCCACATGATGACCAAGTGTAGCGCAACACATCAAAGCTGCAGGTGATGATAACCAGTCAGGCAGTGTGTTCACGTTGCCATTCTTTGTTTCACTGTTTGTACACCAGGTCATTTCTTGTGACACCTAATCCGTGACCTTTACAGTGTCTAGAATCACTGTGGAGTGCTTGGCCATCCACGTTGAACTCAACCCGCTTCCAACTTCAAGTACTTAAGCTTCGAACACTCCCCTTTTACCTATCTCCAACGCCCGCACTTCAACTCAACCACTTCACAGAGTCAAGCACTTATCGACAGCAACTGAATCACATCTTCGAATCCGAACGCAAGAGATCATGGGATTCATGTGGACGAAGCACTGGGGAGGCAGGAGAGCCGGTACGTGTCATCTCCCTATTCCATATGTGATCCCCAGTCGCGATCGATCCTAACCAACTTGCAGGTGGCGGCGTCATAGTCGACAAGAACGGCGTCCGACGAGCCCCGTTCCGATTTTCCTTCGGACGGTTCAGCTGTTTCCGCTAGGCGAATGGATCCATGATAAAGCCGAGAAGTGGGGGTTGCCGCACCTCGAAGTCACGACCATCACGACATCGCAACGAGCGTTTCCTCTTCGTATCGATATCCAGCCAGCGAGCGATCTGAGCGAGGGGCTGTCTGCAGCTAGGGAATGAATTTGCATGGCGTTTCATGGCGATGTGGAATCGCTGCAGGCTCGAACATAGCGCGTCGATTCTAGTCTAAACCTATCGAGATACCTTATCATTATGCGAGCCTCTTGACCTCGCAAGTCTATCCGTGTGATGTACATGGTGATTGAGGTGCATGAACTCGTTTATCGCAGACCGTACTGCTACCTACGGGCTATGATGATCTTCTCCAGGATCTTTTGAGCGCCCTGATCCCGCAACGTCCCCGCGATGGCCGACCCCAACGCCTCTGCCTCCTCCACCGTCTCCACCTGCGCTGTCTCCTCCGTCTCCACCGCCTCCGTCCCATCCACGCTGACCACCGATGCCCGCACATGGAGCGTCCCCTCCGCCACCCACCTCGTCTCTACGCCGATCGGCACCGAGCATCCGCCTTCTAGCGTCCGCAACAGCGCCCGCTCCACCGTGCATGCCAGCGTTGTTTGCTTGCATGCTATTGCCTCGAGGAGCTTCAGAATCCGAGCATCCCCTGCTCGAGCTTCGATGCCAATGGCGCCTTGGCCTACGGCGTGGAGCATGCCACCGTTGGAGTGGGATAGGCGGGAGGTGATGCGGTCGGAGAGCGAGAGCCGGTCAAGGCCAGCGGTGGCGATGATGATGGCGGAGAAAGGAGGATGGGCTTTCGTACCGGCGGATTCGGTGGTATCTTCAGTGCCTGCCGCCGGTGCGGTCGCTCCTGGGATGTCGATCACCGACTCATCGAGTTTCCGTAGTCGTGTGGGCACGTTGCCGCGGAGGGGTTCAAATTGTAGATGTACATGCGCTCGGAGAAGTTGCGCGGAGCGCCGTAATGAAGATGTGCCCACTATTGACCCTTTGGGCAGGTCGGACAAGGAAGGCTGCTGGACACCAGTGGCATGGAGGTGTTTGAGCAATTCCGGATGAACGACCAAGGCGTCTCGGGCATCCGCTCTTTTTAGGATGGCGGCGAGTGTGAACTGGGGTGGAAGGGTCGTGGGTATATCTGGTTATCAGTCAGCCGGGCTTCAACCGTATTTCAGGGACGGATGGGAAACCCGATTCCCTTCGTTGAACTTTGGATCCACTCACCTTTAAGACTATGGACCACAAAGTCCACCTCTCCTTTCTCAAGCAGCTCCTCCAGCTCCTCCGTCCATAGGCCTTTCGCGTCACTCTGCGACGGCTTCGGCGCTCCTGCTACTTGGCTGCTGACCGCTTCATTGCTCGACGCTGTGAAGTCCCATAGCGGCGTGACCTTATCCCGATCCCCCAATGGATCTAGGCCTTTGACGCCTATTCGTCCCCGATATTCGGGATATGCGTCCTCCACGGCTCGGATAGCAAGGTCGGTTTGAATGCGCGCCAGCAATGACTTTCGGGTGCCCACCACGGCGAGCGGGTCCGCCAACGGCACCGGGGAGGGAGGGCCGGTCGTCTTGTCTGCCGAGCTGGTGGTTATCTGCTCTGGTTTGGATGCCATTGTTGCGTTCTCGAAATATGAGTATGTCTTTTGCCTTCGAGGTCTCAAGAACGAGGAATATACAGGCTGATACGACACCACATGCAAGTTGATATTCGGCCCGAGTACTACTTTTTAGCCGAATCGAATGGAAATGAATGTTCCGTTAGATATGGCGGCCGAAAGGTAAATGCTGTCAACGAAGGAGACCGTCGTAATTCGCGTGGATATTCACAATAGTGATAAGTGGCGGTCGAATGTGTGGGCCAAACGCTTCGTAGGAAAGATTTCAATTGAAGTGAAGTTCTGACAAGCCCCTCAATATTTCCGCGAGTCAGTAGGCGGTTTCTCCTACACACAGTCTCCCGGATCATGACTCGGTATATAAATTTCACCTCCACCACCACCATTTCTCCCACCAAGTCCCAGCATCCATCTACAACTACAACGTCGCTTCACAAGCCTTTCCAAACCGACCGATCCAATGGCGCCGCCAGTGCGCCCTCCCGAACGCCGACCTGTCGCACCCCCCCGATTCCGCGGACGACGTAGCGCCGAAGAACGAGCCGCCCTCGCCCAAGCGGAGCAGGCCCGGTTCGGCGAACCTGGAGAGTCGTCCGGTGCAGCGCGCGGTGGAAATCGGGCGGTCGGTCGAGGGAATGGACCCGCTGGACGTGGAAGAGGTCGGGGTGGTTTTCCTGGGCGGCCGGGGGCGATGCCCAGTGGACCGTTCTCTGCAGGAGTTGCGCCAGATGGTAAGCGTTGTCTGATATGTAGGATGGACAATACTGAAGAGTCCGGTAGATCCGAATAAGGTTGCGAAGACCGAGTCTGATCCGACACGCTCTCAGGAGACGACTCTACTTGCGGCGCCGTCATCATCGTTCTCACAAGGCGGCAGGGCGGTGCGGGGTGGGAGAAGAGGCTCAGGGACCGCTGGGCGACCGCGAATCAAGCAGGACCCGGGAGACAAGGACGTCAAGGCTGAGCCTACAGATGGAGATGGGATCAAGTCCGAATTTCCCGAGGAAGTCGGCTACATATCGTCAGACAATGAATTGGAGTCGCAAGGTCCGCGGAAGGATGTGGACACCATCAATCTCGTTAGCGACGACGAAGAGGAAGAGGATGGGAACGGTCCGCCGAGGCGGCGTAAACACCGTTATGAATCGTCCATCGAACCCGTGCGACCACATCGTGTCCTACACCGAGACCGAGTGGCGGGCATCAACACCGATGCCAGCTCTGCTACCGCCGGCGAGCTCCGTCGCCAAGCTGAGGAACGAGGCGGTTTGGACAAGGTGTCAGTAGAAGACGTCGTATCGTCCATCGCAAACAAGGAGCCAACTCGCAACAAAGATGTGGATGTTCTCAGCAGCGGGCGCCGCTGGAAAGGCGTCTACGAAGAAAGCGACGATGAAGACCGCATGCCCGAGATCAAACCCGACCCCGGCGCCTCGCCCAAACGTGCCCGCGGCAAAGCCCCCGTCATCGACCTCGACGCCCCTCCCGACGCCCCTCCCGACGCCCCCCATCTCTCGCCCCAGCCCGCCCCGAAAAAAGCCTCCAAGCTCCAAAAGCCCATCCTCCAAACCGACGAAGAGCGCGCGGAGTGGGACCGCCACCTCTCCGCGCTCGATTCCCTCCGCCTCGAACTCGGCCCCGCCGCCACGAAGCGCGCACAGCTCGACTCCGACGGCGACATCGCCATGGCCGACAACGCACTCGACGACCCCGCCCTCCCCGACCGTCTTTACCTCTTCCAACTCCCTCCGGTCATCCCCGACCTGCTCCCGACCGTCGATGCCGACGCGCCCGCTCCCGCTGAGCCGGACGCCACCGACCCCATCAACGCAGCGCGTAACCCCGCTCAGGGGGGCGCCCCCGCCGGCAACAAGGCGATTTCCCTCGCGGCGCTGAAGACCGAGGACGCCGGCTCGAAGAAGGTGCTGCCCACGGCGCCGCAGCTGTCGGAAGGATATGCGGGCAAGCTGCGGGTGCACGCGTCGGGTCGGACGTCGGTGGACTGGGGGGGAACGCCGTTCGAGTTGCAGATGGGGGTGGATGCGGGGTTTCTGCAGGATTGCGTTCTGGTGCGGATGCCGGAGAAGGTGGGGGTGAAGAAGGAGGCGGGGGAAGGGGAGGGGGAAGGGGAGGGGGAAGAGAGGACGACGGGGAAGGGGAAGGAAGGGGGAGCGAAGGAGGCGTTTATGTTTGGACAGATTCGGGGGAAGTTGGTCATGGTGCCGGATTGGGAGGCGATTTTGGGGAGTGGGGCGGGGTGATGGTCGGGGCTGGCTGGTCGACGATTCGAGGATTGTGGGACTCATGTACGATATCGGTTCAGGGAGCTATATACCCTGGTGCATCCTTCAAATGGATGCCTACTCTGGTGCAATGCCATGCTCCTTAATGGCAATAAATACAGACGCCTGGGCTATGCGGTGAAAACAACCACCAAATCGAACGTATAGTCGACAGCGTTCCTGACTCCATGAATGTATCCCATCTGCTCACCGCCCGGAGAAACTTCTCTCCCACCTAGAATGCACTTAGAACCCTTCCATCCGCCTCTTACTCCTCCTAGTCATCCTCGGCGTCTCATCAACCCCTTTTTTCTCAACCTCTACCACCTTCTCCCCCCCACCCTCCTTCCCCCCTTTCCCCCTCTTCTTCTTCTCCCCCCGCGGCGGCCCACCCCCTCCCCCCTCCTCCTCTTCTCCCTTCCCCGTCATCCGCCGCAAAATCATCTCCCGCGACCGCTGCTGTTCCGGATCCTCATACACTAGATGCTGCGACGGGAAGAACCCTGTCGCTGAGCTGTCGAGCGAGGACTTCGACGCCGGCAGCTTCGGCGCGAGGAAGTCGGGGCTCGGTGGGTCTTCGTCAGCTTCCCCGCGGAGTGATCGCGCGTCGTCCTCGTTCGGCGCATTGGCGCTGTCCCGTCCGGACGTCCGCTTCGTCTGCGTGAGTCGCCCGAGCAGACCGCTCGCGCCCGAGGCCGACACGGGCGCTTCGCTCCCCTGGCGCGAATTGGCGAGGGAGGAATGGCTCGAGACTGCGCGCCCAAGGGGACTGCGCTTCCGCTTTCCGCCAGGGACGGCATGGGATCTCGTGGCTTCGACGTCGCCGGGTTTCAATTTGTCGGTACGGGAATTCTGGCGGTTGGAGAGGAGCTCGATGGAGGTGGCTAGGGCGTTTAAGGGGGGGGATGAGGGGCGGGGATGGGTGGGGTTTGTCGGGGGTCCAGGGGACCGCAGACTAAGCCGCAGAGACCTCTTTTGGGCAGGGTGGGAGGGTGGGGCGGTGGTTTCGTCCGTCACATCCATCGGGGGCGGGGCGGAGAATTCTTCGAGCAGCTCGTTCGGGTCTAATTCCATGCCGGAGCGAGAATCCGGCCGCGGGGCTACCGGTTTCCTGGCGTCACGTGCCTCTGGTTGCAGGGCGGCGTTGGAGTTTCCATTCGGTTCTTGTAGCGGATGAGGGTCCCCTTCGTGTCGAGTGGTCGTGGTTGGCGTCCTGGTTTTGCGAGTTGCGTCGTCGACCTCTTTATCGGGGTGGATGGACAATGGGGCGGAAGGATCTCTTGAGGTTGGGCGACTTGCCTCTGTTCCGGGTTTAGTCGCAGGGGTAGATTTGACCGGTGGTTTCTCTCCTAGACTTGGGTATAAAGTAGACAACGCATTGGTAGGTACCCATTCGACATCCGCAGTCGTCCGCCGATTCGCTTTCGATAGATCATCATCCTCATCGCTGCCGGCCGCCCGTTTCCCTTTCTCGGCCACTTCGTAGATCAAATACTTCCGCGGATCAGGAGCGTTGTAGTGGGTCAAGCAGTCGTACAACCACTCCACATCAACCACCGGAATGTGCTCGCGCATAGCGAAATCGATTTTGCGCGACTGCGTCAGCTGGGTGCCGGCGCTTCTCCGCGCATCGGCCTCCGGGGCGGCGGAAACCAGGATGTCGACGTCTTTGGTCAGATTTTCCACGAACACGGCGCCCATTAATTTGAGGACGCGACTGACATGGAGTAAGTCGATATCGTGGATGCCGGTGGTGCAGATGCGCAGATCCTTCCAGCCGTGGACCACGCCGGCTCCGAGTTGTTTGAAGGGCTGGAGCATGACCGTGGATTTCCATGTCGGATTGGTCGCGGGTCGTTCTTCGGGTATCTCCATGAGCGTTTTAGAATGTAGGCATTGTTCTACCCATTGATCTGTGACAATGGACATGTGCGATACGGGGTTATGGTAAGCATGAGGGAGGTTGAGATCGGAGAGGGAGGTTGAGAGTATCGACGCCTCCGTGGAGAATGGATGTTCATGGGGTAGAACCAGAAAGCCTGAAGAGAGTGTTGTTGTTGGGACCGAGGTCAGATCGGTGAGACTAAGGACATTTGCGTCGTTTGACTCAAGGAATTGGCGAAGGACCCCTTCCTATGGTAAGACGTCAGCAAAGCGCAAATGAGACCTAAGGGGTGCATCCAACTCACCTTCTTGCGCTCGAAAGCCCATATAAACACCGCTCTGCGTCGGAATATGCCTTGCGCTTTCGGCTTCGACGCTCGAGGTCCCGAGCGGGAGGAGACATCCGCCTCCAGGGTTGGTTCTGCGGTGAACTGAAGCTCCTCATTCACTTCGGACTGGTCTAGCTGTGGGCTCCCATCTGGAGTCACTCCCTTTTCCGGCTCGTCAACATCCCACTCGCCCTGCTTCCCTACTTCGGGCCCCCGGGAGGTGATTTCCGCCCACATCTCCCCGCTGCCCTCTAACCGCTTGCTCGTGGTCCTCCTGATTTTCCGCCGCTTTTTTCCGGCGGTGTCTTCGTCCGAGTCCCGCCCTAGATGCGAAACCGCCACGGTATTTCCCAACTCGATCTGCGGCGGCGAGGGCAGAGGGGCGGCGACGGTAGCACCCACACCTCTCTGTTCAGGTGGAGTCCGTGGATCGTAGAGATTCTCCTCCAGTATCAACCCCCGCTGCAGACTGTCCTGAAGCCATTCCAGCGCCACCACTTTGATCCCCCACTGCATCGCAAACTCATATTTCTTCCCCTGTGGCTCCTTTGCGATCAGATGCGTGACCTCTCTCGTCAAGTCCCCGGAATACAACGCGCCATTGTCCCGAATCGCTCGATTTATCGTCTGTCGCACCTGCAGGTCTTCGAACCCGGTGACCGAGATCCGCAGTCCGTGGAAGACGGGCACGCGATGCTCCCGCTCGAGTTGGGCGACCCACTCGGCGACTTTGGACGGGGCCTGCTCGTCCCCCTCGCGCCAATGGTCGCGGCAGGCGAGGATGAAGGAGGAGAGCAGGACTTTGACGTCGGGGCGCTCGCGGGCGACGTACTTGTACTTGGGGGTGTCGGTGTTTCCCACTATGAGGTGGGTCACGTCATTGCGGAGGTCGTAATGGTGTAGAGCGCCGAGCTGTTCGGCGATCTGAGCAATTTCGGACTGGGAGTTGGTCAGTTGTGTCGTTGCCAACAGGCTGATGTATGGGGAGCATTTACTCGTAACTCGGAAGCGATTGAAGTGCAGCATATCACTGCTCCTCTCAGTGGAGCTTCGGACTGTTTATGCTGTTAGACTGATTGTATACGATGCGGACTTCAACGCCTGTAACGTACCGTCATTCTGCACCATTGTCTCGGTGTGTCAATGTGGAGAAATTGACTGATGTCGAGGAAGAAATGGAGGGAAATTTCTGAGGGAAGGAATCTCAGCTACAAGGACAACAACATCGTACTATACAGTCACTTGGTATTTGTCTTGTTTAGAACTAACCCATTCAATCTTTGCAATTCCAATCATGCATCGTGAACGCGCTGACGCGCTTCTCCTCACTTGCGGTCGTGATAATGTGGGGCTTAGCTCGATTTCACGTGATAACCCAATTGTTATTCACGTGATTGTATCTCCCTAACCATTCATAAATTCCATGGAAGAGGATCGTCACTCACCCACTCTCCCATTGCTAGTCTTTGTGTTTTAATTTTTATGTCATCTGGTATCCCATTGGATGCCGCAATTCTAGGCTCGTTTCCTGGCCCACCAGCGTTGATACATGGACAAGCATCAAGGGGATGGTGCCGAATTTCCGCTTCGGCAATCGGAACCAAACCCTTCCAGGATACACTCTCGGACAGTCGGCCGAGTTGTCGCCTTTTTAGTCCAACCCAAAATTATAACCTCTAATTACATAGTAAGGTCTTGCTTGTGAGTCTTCTGGAGGAATTAGGAATCTGTAAGATGAGTAAGATCGTATGAGTCAAGAATCCTCGGCGGGAAGTCGGGAATGGATAGGGCACGAAGGTCGCTTGGCGATGCTGATACGGTGCAGATTGTACAGCAGATCCTAACCCGATCCTGGTGATTCATCATGCTCCATGCTTCCTATCCTGGTATTCAATGCCCTGAAGCGGGTCAGATGAGCCATGCTGTCGTACGCAAGATGTACAGTAGTAGAGTGAGTTGTGCTGACTTTTCAGGGTGACGACGTCCAAAAGAAAAGCGAAGTGTAGCTCTGTCCATGTCCGACATCAACCTCGATATCGATGCAGATGGAACCGAATGTAGACGGTGATCATGGTCCCACCGAGGTTTATAATCCCATTGAAAATTTGATCGGCACGCGGCGGCATCGGGAATATGTACGTCCTACAGTCTGACATACAATATGGTGGCTTGCATTTCCAACCGGAGGGTAGCGGCATCAAAGATCACGTCTCCCATACCTTTTCCGAGTACACCAGGTGACCAGGACATTGATTGAGGAAGGGTAGGAGCAGTTATACCGAGTTGAAGACCCCTAAACAGTCGGATGATGGACGAGATGCCATTCCACTCTCCAATTTTCACCCCGTGCTCGTTTTAGTGATTGGGCGAATGTGTTGAAAGGGGCAGGTAAAAAAATGCCCGAGTGGTAAACGGCCCTAAAACTGGTGATGCTTAGCGTGCCGGTCAGACCGGGACGATGTCATCGTTTGTAAGAAAGTTGTAACAAAGTATTCGACCATCACGTCGCATCTGGGACCCGGTCATCCAATGTCAAGAAGACTAATACCTGTACCTACTAATAAGATGAATTTGACTTGCCCGAAAATCCGCAACATGGAGACAGCGGATCAATATCGCACAACCTATTCCCAAAAAAAACTCAATCTGCCAACTTCCCAATCCTACGTGTATCTCCAATCCTCGTACTCCTTCGATTCCGGAACCCGCACGCTCTCCCAGACTCCGGCGCAAAAACCTGCTTGGTGTGGATCCGCCCAGTTGATAGTCACCGGCAGCGACTCGGACCGGCGGGTTCGTCACTGTTTGAGGCACTCCCTTTGCATAGCTAGTAGAGGACCGATCGCCCATCATTGGCGCGTTTCCGGTTTGGAATTGGGACACCCCGCGAATTTCGACTTGTCGAGGCTTGGGGCTTGCACGCTTCAGGGAATTTCGCCGATCTTCCCGCATCTGATCGAGGGCTGATGACATCGTTGGCCGAAGCGGACGTGTTCCACTGCTGAGTTGATCGGTTGATATTCAGGGACATCACTCTCCAGTCTCATACGCATCAACTCTGTCGTCTCGACATTTTCTATACCTATCACGATCCGACTCTGTCCATAGCAGTCGAGACAGTCTTTCTCGATCCTTAACACCCTTGGCGACGTCACCACGGAATCGAGCCGATCTTTCCATCTCCCTGGTCCCTCACCACCGATTTTCGACAACGCATGAAGCACACAGTGTGACACGGTTATCCGTAATCGCAATCTCGCAACCACACCGACAATTACACAACGACATTCTCGGCGATCGCTCGGTCTCTTACACCATTCTGGCTGGGTGTCTTGGAAGTCGTAATTTGGGAATTGTATCTCCGCCCTATCCCCCCTGGCACCGTCGCACGCGGAATGAGTAACAGACTGGTGACCCTCCATCACAAGCCTCTTCCCGGTCTAGGTCAATCAATCTGCTTCGAGAGCTGCGATTCGTGGTAAGTCCCGCACCTCGTTTTTAATATCGCTTCTGTGTTTGGTATTTATTCCACCTTCAGGGCGCGGGTCCGATCTTCATGTTGTATGTGCTTCTGGTTTCCTTGCTCGGGTTTTCTCTTCATGGCACGTCGCTCCTGGTTGCGCATCTGGGCATCTATGTCTGTGGTGCTCGAACTTCCTGGACTGCACCGCTTGCTACATCGTCGCGAAATGCTGTACGGATAGAGGGCCACAGGCGCACGATCTTGCATTCGGACAAACCAATTGTGCTGAATGCTGATGGTGGTGGCTTTGTCGCCCTGTCCGCAGTTGTCGACATACCGCTTTAGGCGGCTTCCCTGTGTTCTTCACATTACCTAGTTGGGACATTCTAATCCTCGCGTTCCTTATCTTTATCTGTTATTTTGCCGTCACCTTTGAAGAAGCCCCAATGGCTTCCCAAACTTCCCCCGCATTGGAGCCCTTGTATGAGGAGTACCAGTATACGAACCGATCGCTAAACTACCCGACCATGGCAGGATATCTCCCCGTACACGCGCAACGAGGGCGACTATATTACCTCCCATCCGACCTGCCCAGATCACAGCGCTTGTCTGATCCCGATCTTCCCGCATCCAACATTCCGAGACTCTTCACTGCTCGCTCCCGCCGTCCTCAGCGCATCCACGTCGAGCGGGTCCGCCTTTCCACCCCGTCGGAGCCTCCGAGTGCGAAAGCGACCCCCTACTTGCGGAAATCGACCACGACGCTCATCGCCGAAAAGTTCAATCTGGCGGTCAGCAAAGAGAGCGCCAAGCGGTTCCTTCGATCGTTCATCGCCCCACCTTCGGCACCTAGGCCAGACGACCCCCCATCCCACCCGTCCTTGAACCGGCTAGAGACCACCGATATCAGACGGCCGGACGAGCAGGTCGCTGCTCCTTCCGGTCGTAGAATCGGTCGATCCGCCTCGTCTCGTGGAGAAGGCCGCCGTCCCGACCGTGCTGCTACATCGTCGAGCTTCCGCCACTCTCTCGCTGGTCCCATTACCGGCGCTCCATCCGCCATGTCTCTCACATCCACTCTAATACCCGCCGTCACGCCTGACGTGCGGGTGCTCAGTCCCCATCGGCCCCCCCCTACCAACCCTCCTGCCACGATTTCGACTCCGGATCCGCGGCCAACGGTGCTGAGGACAACGAAAGTGGAGTCGGAGGAGAAGCCGATTGCGAGCGGAAATGGCGTGAGCGTGTTTATCTCCTTGACGGAGCCCGTCTTGTTTTTGCAGGGGTTCGAACAGTCCGATTCGGGTGGACGAGGGACAGCGATGCTGCGGGGAAGTTTACGGGTGAAGGTGACGAAGCCGTCGAAGCTGAAAGGGGTAACCCTGAGGTTTAAGGGGAAGGCGACGACGAAGTGGCCAGAAGGTAATTAGATTAAACGCCTCAGCTCGAAGAACGCGAACTAATTTGTATCTGCAGGAATTCCGCCTAAGAAAACCGAGTTTGAAGAGACTGACACGATCATGTCGCACACTTGGCCCTTCTTCAACGCACAATTTCCAACCGCGGAATTAGGGCCCGGGGCAGATCACTTCGAGCTCTTTCCCAACAAACTGCCGTTATCTTCCACGAGTACCCCCGAAAGCAGCATGACCATGCATAAAAGTCGTGCGTCCTTCGACATTCGCCGCATCTCTCCACCTAGCACGGCGAACGGACTGAGCAAGTCGGAACAGAAGCGGCTATCGCTTCAAGTGAACCAATCTCGAAGTTTTAGCAAGGACGAAACCCCCATAAAACCGGGGAACAGCGGGTCCAGCGTGTCCCAGAAGGGATATCGCACTTTCCAGCCGGGCGAATACTTCTACAATTTCGAGCTTCCTTTAGACTCGCATCTTCCAGAAACCCTATCCGTTGATCTTGGCTCTGTCGGATATACACTGGAAGCTGAAATTGCTCGCGCCGGTGCCTTCCGCGCCAATCTGGTGGGCACGAAACCCGTGGTGCTGATCCGCGCGCCTTCGGAAGGCAGCTTAGAGCAGGTGGAGCCGATCGCCATCTCGAGGAACTGGGAGGACCAGCTTCACTACGACATCGTCATTTCGGGGAAATCCTTTCCGCTCGGGGCCCAAGTCCCTATAGCTTTCAAACTCACGCCGCTCGCCAAGGTCACTTGCCATCGCATCAAGGTTTATGTGACTGAGAATGTGGAATACTGGGCACACAACAAGCGCGTACATCGGATGGAACCAACCCGGAAGATCCAGCTGTTCGAAAAGCGTGCCGACGCACGCGCCGTTAGTACATATCCCGGGAGTACCATGCGGATATTATCAGGTGGTGGTCTAAACTACGAGCAGCGGCAACGAGCAGCGATGGGAGAGCCCGTCCAGCAGGGCTCAGATCCTGTGAATCTCCTAGGGAACCTTGACGGAGAGGCGTCCATGGCGGCCGGGCCAACGGAAATGGAGTTCAGTGTCCGGTTGCCGACGTGTCGGGAGCTGAACTCGCCCGAGTCGAGAGGGAATAGGTTGCATTTCGATACGACCTATCAGAATATCCAGGTGCATCATTGGATCAAGGTACGTGTTCTCCGCTCCCCAAGTCATCCCATATTTTGCCCATATTAACGTTTCACCAGATCGTCATGCGCCTCTCTCGTCCCGACAAGAATGACCCATCCAAACGCCGCCATTTCGAGATCTCCATCGACTCCCCCTTCCACATCCTCTCCTGCCGCGCCGTGCAAGCCAACCTTGCCCTACCGGCCTACACCTCCGAAAACTTCGGCGCACTTATCGAGCAACCCAACCTCGCCACCTGCGGCTGCGGTGGCGCCGCTGCCTTGTCCGCCAACCACGCCCCCGGCTGGATGGCGGAAGCGAGCTCTCGATCGAACGCCGTGCACCAGCGCGACTACCCACCCCCGCCGGCGTCCGAACCTGGCCTGTCGAACGCGACGCTGCTGGATCCATCGTCCGCAACGTCGTCGCAGCCGTCATCCGGCCGGAGCACGGCTCGGAATTCCGCAGTGCTGTCCGGCGTTCCCGAATCGCCAATCACGCTTCCACGACCCGAAGCAGCGCACATGGCGGGGGGGACCTCGACCTACACCTCAACCCCCGTA